TGGGAAAGTCAAGCCAGGAAAAAAATTTGAGGACTGAGGGGAACTTTGCAATAACCAGGTGGTTCCCACACGTGTAATTATAACCAGTACCCAACAAATTGTTAAAAGAGCCAGAAAGGAATGGAAAATATGGATGCAGCAGTGAGCTAAAGAAGGTTTTCATATGCATACCGGCTAGTCTTGAATACCCCAAAAGAAAAAAGTTGTGCTACTTTGTGGGCAAAGGACCTTCACCATTACCAGCAAGTGAACTAGAATACCTGCCTGCAGGACAGCCCGGCACTCCACACCTCCCTTCCCCCCTGCCTGTAGATTTTGAGCGGCTGTTGAACTCCAAGTGCTTTTCCCCGCTGTTTTCTTCGGCACGGGGATGCACCCTCCCCACCGGGCCGGGGGAGATCCGCTGCCCTTTGCCCGCCTGCCACGTCAGGGGCCAGAGCGCTGCCCCCCTCCTCCCCGGGGCTGAGCCATGGCTGGTGTCAAGGCGGTCCCCACAGGGAGCTCCTGCCGGCAGAGATAAGGGGGGGCGGGGGGCCCTGTGATAGCCACATTGCCCTCAGCAGTGCCAGGGAGCCGCGAGGAAGAGGAGAGGGCGGCAGCGGGCACGACACCGGGCACAGTCTTCACTTTCTCTCCCACCACTCCTCTGGGGGCGGGAGAGAAACAAAAGCAACTATGAAAACCAAACAATTTGACTGTAATGAACCACAAAACGCGGGATCAGCTGTCTGCCCCTTGCTCACCTCACCGGTACAGTGACTTGGTTGTGCCTTGCTGGTGCTGCCTGCATTACGGTCATCAAGCGACAAAGCCAGCAGTTAGAATTGACTAATTGATTTGTACATTAAATAGGTATTCCTGCTCAATTATTGGCAGGTTTGTTAATGGATTACTATTTAAACGATTCTGATATTTTAAATTACATGTTATTTTATAGATGCACATTTACTTAAAAGAAGAGCACCCATTGCATCTATTAACATATTAAAGAGAGAATAAAACATCCAGGCTGATATAATGCACAATGTGGCATTACTCTGGCTGCTTCCTAAGCTAGGGAAATCTTATTTGTTTAATAATAACTTGGTCATGAATATGCAAATCTGCACCAGTGCAGTACCTCACTGCTGTCACTATTAATGAGTTGCAAATTAATGTGACAACAAAAGGAAAATCTATTTAGTGGCAGATTTGTGGTTCATACCTGGCTCAAGAGAGCAACCGTCTACAGTCACATCGGTTTGGTGGAGCAAAATGTGCACATGGTGTGGACAAGGTTTGTTTTGGTGCTGGCAAACCAGGAACAAGCAGCATTGCTCCTCATGAGCCATCACACTTAGCTTGCAGGAAAATACAATCACCTCTTCACTCTGCAATCACAATGAACCCATGCAAAGCACACTAACGGGTGACATGCAGAACTAGCGACACTGGTATAGGTGAGAAGACAGTGTGGACATCTAGACATGGTACTTAGAGAACCTCCTTTTCTTCAGATCTCTTTGGGGATTTTTTCCCCAACAATGCTACAAGCTCACAAAATGAAACTTGTTGGATTCCAGTCATTTTCTTCTCCTGCCCCTCTTTCTAGCAGAAATGCAATAGTGAATAAGCACATTGAGAAAAGACCTAACACATGCCTTCATGATCGTGACATTCAACTCTTCTGTCTTGTGTAGTGGTGCCAAGCTCTCTCCTATCAACACTGGACCCATACTGAAATGAAAATATGATGTTCTGCAAACAATTTTAAACATATATGAGACTATTTTTTCAGTTAGCTTGCAGCTGTACAAGTTTAAAGTAGCAATGTGTGCCTTTTTCCTGTACGAACTGAAGAAATGATACTGAATGCTTACCAGCAGCCCCGCAGAGCCTGGGAATGGCAGCTGCCTGCATTTACCATTCCCTAACACCTTGTTCATATTAATGCACAAACGATGGGTCTCATCTATAGTTTCATTATTTAGCACAGAAATGAAGGGAGGAGTCGACTTCAAACTCTTTGATTCATGGAGTGAGCTTGGCCCCTGGGAACAGTTTTTAAGACAATTTCCATTCTGCTCCTGTGATCCTGCAAACTAGAAGCGGGGTCAGGCTTCCAGCGGGCATCTGGGCGCTCCCTTTCGCAGATCGCTCCCCGACAAGCACAAACAAGGCCCAAACGCCTCTGGCCCTTGCTTGCCACTCACTGTGCCAGTGTCTTTGGCACAAGTCTCCAGCTAGGCCAGCAGAGCAAAAGGGGGAGACAAACAGCAAAGCAGAAGAAAAGAGAAGAATGTCCAGAGGGAGAAATAACCTAAGTGGGACACTCCCAGGGCTGACCCCACTATGCAGAACCCAGTCTTCTTGGACAAGGCAAGAAGGCAAAAGAGGGGTTCAAAATTTTGTGGTCCTCAGCAGCATTGCTTATCTCAGGGGAAACCTCCCAGCACTGCCCATGCTGTGGCTTCAGGCAGCCAGCCTGGAGCCAGGGACTTCCTGGGATTTCCCAGCCAGCACCAAGTATAAATTTGACAGAGGAAATTCCCTTCAGTGAGTGAGGCTCACCTGCCTGTGCTTGCTGGACATGGAGTTCTTCCCTGTTGCACTGGTGGTTCTCCAACACCTCCACAGAGCAGCACAAGCTCCCAGACAGGCAAATCCAAGTGATAAGGAGGGGAAGCTCGAGGAAACACCTTGGCTTGGGCCCCAACAGCATCAACACTGCACTTTTGCCTTGCAGAAGGCAGGACACAGGATCAGCAGGGTTTTACCACCCCCAAAGGCTGTGTTTCTGGTTCCTTATTTTTTATTAACCTGGAGTAATGCCAGCAGTGTGAAGCAAGTATCTTTGGCCCAAGGAGGATGCACAGGAAAGTGCTTTAAAGGAGAGCAGCGTGAGTCCAGAAGCCGAAATGCTGAACCTCAGCCCCCTCCCAGCCCTGCCCTGCTGTGGTGGTTGGAGCCAGCTCAGTCCCTGGCTCTGCGCCGTGCAGGATTCAGCCAGTCCCAGTGCTGGCAAGGCGGCCAGCGTTTCGACTCCCCTGCCTATGCTCGCTCTCATTGAGTTCGCTCCCTGCCAGCACGCTGCCATCTCTCCTCTCCCCGAGGTAACTATTCCCTGGGCTTGCCTACTCCAAAACTACACATGCAGCCAGCCTCTCCTGTGACAGTCTCTCCCAAACCACACAGAATAGGGTCAGCCAAACCAGCTTCATGCGCCCAGCATCACAGAATGCTACCCTCCTCCTTCACTGAACCCTCCATCCTCTCTTAAGAACCCTCACATAGCAAAGTCTCTTTAAAAAAGTCCACCCTAGAAGATAAAATGGTTGTGTTATGTCAAGGGACAGCACTGCGATCAGGTGTTCCCCGCCACGGCCCTATTTTTAGAGTGCAGACAGGCCCCAGGGCAGGCACACGCTTGCATTACAACAGCATGAGGCTGTTACTGTATTTGAGCAGGGATGCAAGCGCCAGCATGGAGAAGGCCCAACTGTACTAGATGGAGATAGTGGAAAGCTGACTAAGCGGAGACATTCGGGGAGCACATGTTCAAGATCATCTGAGGAGGAGCTAGCCAAAAAAGGAAGCCACATCAATCTTCTGTTTGCCTGCAGCGCACGGTGAGAAGTGAGGTATCTGCCATGCACCCCTGGAAGTGGTACAAAGCTGACTTATGCTCAGTTCAAACCATCCAAGCATTATGCAGCTGATCATATAAAGGTGTCTGTAACAATTGCTTTTAACGTTCTCCCTTCTTGGTTTTTCTGGCCTGCCTCTGCTTTCTGGGAAAATTGGGGCATAGAAGTAGCCAGCGCTGTAGAGTAGGGATCTTCAGTTCCTTGCAAAGGTGGAGGCTAGCTTAAAGGGAAAGCCAGCCATACAGGAGGGACCACCGCCCTTCTTACCCAAAGTCTAGAGAAAGAAGTTGTTGGCTGTATTAGGACTAAAAAATCCCTGTCCTGTGCTGAAATGGGACTTGAGTTGCCAGCAGCAGACACTGTTGGACCCTTCTCCCACCTCTTGGCTCAGCTACAAAACCACCTTACCCCCAGAAGCAGCCCCACTGTAAGCCACAGAGTACAAACGTGAGGCATCAGCTCTCCGTCCTTCCCTGTGGGACACCTTCAGGAATGAGGCCTCGTTCTCCCTTACCTTCAGGATGAGGGTAATTCACGCCCTTTCTTAAACTCTCCCACGTGCAGAGATTTAACCTGAGGTACATTGTCCATTAATCAAAACCTCCAAGCCTCATGACTCCAGATGAAGAAACTTTTTCCCAGATGCTTTTCTCAGATAGACCAGATGCTCTGCTCAAGACCCTTTTGGTGGGTGTCCTGGCCCTCAGCAGCAGACCAGCGCAATTTAAATGTCTCAGCTGAAGCATTTGGCTATTGCAGGACATACTGTTAAAAACAGCCCCGAAGCAAAACTCAGACTGTGTTCACAGCAGGAACTTCTTTCCAGAGGGGAAAAGCAGACCCGGTCCCTTAAGAGAAGGCCTGCCCAAGCCCTGGGAGCCCAGCTTCTTAAGATGCAAGTTCCCAAGCTGTCTAAAAATGGTGTTCTGTTCACTGTCCCTTCACATCCCCCCCAAAGGGTGCTCACAGCATTAATGCTCCGCATTAAAACTGAAGCGTTTACCCTGGTACTGTTTTCCTCCCCTCTGCAGACACCACTGGAAAGAGAATTCAGTTGATTCAACTTGATGACAAAAGAGGAAAAATAATTGAACCTATTCACAACTCTTTAACTAAAACACAATGCATAAAGTATTGCGAATGCCGCTTTTAAACCTCTGTCCCACAAAAGCTGCCCGCCTGATGTTTTCTTGTAACCTTGAATTTAGAAAGCCACTGCAGATTCTACCTCAGATTTCATCAGCTGCTCGCCAGCACCTGTGCCAGCTCCGCTCTGCTTCGGGAATGGCTCGTGGAGCCTCCTTTCATAAACATTAACGAGTCGGAGCTCGTTTCACAACCAAGCACAGAATTAATGGGAGTCACTTTAGCTTCTTCATTTCTCAACAGTTTTATTGCCTTTAAGAAAATTTTTGTAAAATATAAATACAAAGGCAGGAGATTTACTTACAAAGTTAAAACACAGATCTCAAACATAAACACACAATTCAGAAAATTTAGTTTATGTACAGTTTCAAGCAACTTCAACATATGTTAGTTTTTCAATATTTTACAAGGTACAGAAAAAATAGTTCAAAGTCTTCTTTAAATAAAGAGCATAAAATGTTTAAACATATATAAACAATCCGGTTTGATGTGTGAAAACTAAATTTCACAGCTTTTAAATTAGGATATAAAAGTTCTTACAATTAGTTGATGCGTATGGATATGGTTTAATTTATATTACAAACTATTGAATTATATTCAATAGTGCTTACCTGGCCAAAGCAGGTAATTCTGTAAACAAAAAAACAAAAATAATATCACCAAGTGCCTTACTGAATTCTATCTCCCAAACAAGCCACATGACTTTGATCACATCACCTAGAAAAAGTATGTTCTGTGTAATCAGTGCTTTGTATGAAACAAAGTCAATGTGTGGGTGTGTTCTTTAAAAAAAAAATGTGTTCCGAGTAATAACAAACTTATCCCAAAGCCTGTGTGCATTTAAAGAAACATTATATAACAATTTTGTAAAAACTGATTGAAGTTAAAAAAAAAATTCTTCCAAAATCCATCCAACTGGAATTCAGATCTCTTATATAAAGGAAAGATATTTTCATATTTAATAGTGTCCTTTCTTTACAGAAACAATTGCATTTGAACACATATACATAAAGAAGTAACTGTATAGAGCACTGTACATTAAACGGCCTGATGGTTCACCAGAGGATGTCGAAGGGAGGGTCCTCGTGCGGATGCAACCAGTGAAGCGAGGAGCCGAGCAAAGTCTTGAGTTCACTTGTAAACTCTACCAAGTCCAACAGCTCTTTGCTCTCTGGGTTAAAAGCTTCAAGGTCCGTGGCACAAGAGAACAACTGGCTGAGGGAAGTCTGTTTGTAAAACTCTGCCTCCGTGATGGTCACAACTTCCAGATTGGGGAAGTTGCAGCGAAAGATGCGAGATGACATTTTTAGCCTCTTCACCACGTCCGAGAGCAAAAGCCAGTTTCGTGGGCTGTGGAAGCGAAGGAGAAAGAGGCTCCAATAACTGACATTAATTAAGTCACCGGCTTCTTGACTCTTCACCATATCGCTGTGTGACAAACCCTCCCTGACCGTACCCGCACAAACAACCCCTCTGAAATCAAGGGGGGGTCAAATGCAACAGATGTGCAGGCGCATACGCATTTACTCACAGTACCGCTGCCCGCAGCTTTGGGGAAGGAGGGGGACCGGGCATGCAGGGGCACGGGAGCCTACAAGCCCACGCGTGGGCCAGCAGCCATCCCGAGACAGCTGCTCACACGGCTAAAGGTTCGCCTGGCTGAGCCCTACTGCCCTTCAGCACGTTAGGAAATGGCCTAGAGTTATAATCAGAAATTTCAGCACCTCTGGCTTGCAGAGGTGCCGATACTAAATACAAGTCAACAGAGGGTTTTTTCCCAGATTAAGAATACAGATTTTTAATTCAATCTTTGTACTTGTCTTCTTCAGAGAACTTAAGTTATATCCACCACCCAAATAATAAAAACATGCTAAAATCCACGCTCCTGCATGATTAATATTTAAAACTATTTTTCCCACGGCTGTCATCACAACTGGTGCAGATGACAAACCGTAACTGTTTATGAAGCTAATTTATATCTTGAATATAACAGATGATAAAATTTTCCAGGTCTTTGTTTATTATTAAGTAACATAGTATCTTCTGCAAGATGTTTATTTGTTTGATATAATTCCAGGCTTTACACCAGTTTTGCTGCAAAGTTCGGAACAGCAGTAATGGTATAATTTCGTCATCCACAAATGCATGCCCACTCAGCAAAAGAGAAAAGCCCACTAAGTAAAATTAAGAACATCTTACAAATATGATATCCAAATTTAAGTCCTAGAAACACTTGTATTTTGGGATGTTATACCAAGATGCCGGCCTGGGATGAGGGAAGGAATCTATGTTCAAATGTCATTTGTTCAGCTCGGGAGTATGGCACTCAAAACACAGCACCAACTTCCCCCTCTCACCTCCCATTAGCTTATTTCTAAAAAGCCCAGCAGTTAAGGTACTGCTCTCTCACTTACGTTAGATAAATGCAAATGCATTTCCCCACAGACACAAACTGCTGCCATCCCAAGCAAATCGTCTCAGCTATTTTTACCCCGAACCCTGTAATTGTTCTTACCCCTGAGAGAGACACACTTGAATGTTGTAACAGGGCAAGGGAGGCTCATCTGAAAATTCAAATTCAAACACATCACTAAAGCCATCTTCATCTTCATCACCTGGGCCAGGAGGGTTTGCCAAGATGTCAAATCCAGATTCATCTTTTGGTTCTAAATAAAATTGAATAAAGGTGCCACGTCAGCATTGAAGAGACTGTTGCAGGTCTTGCTTTTTCTTCCAATAACGTGATCTATAAATAAAATCAGTTTGCTTCCTTCCTAGCTTCCTCTACCATAAAAACAAAACACCCCCACCCCCACTTGCTGCATGTTTTGAAAGTCTCCGCATACAAAGAAATAAAGGGTAACATTTGCTCACCGCACACAGAGCTGCCATAGAAATCCCAGTACAAACCAGGGTCATCAACACTTCGACCTTGCAGGTCAGTTAAATACTCTGGAGAGGAAAAAACAACAACAAAAACATACTGATGAGAACAAAAAGCTGGCAAGTTTAGCAGACTGTGTGTCATACAGCCTCACTATGTATCTTCCATACCTTCCATCAAAAAACCCCACACCGTATTCCTGATGAATAGGCTACAAACAACAGCATAAACATACCACTCTCGCAAATATTCCTGGAATTCGCTTTTCTCCTGCACCCTTTCTCCCATCACATCAAATAATGACTCACCACATCAAATAATCACCCAAGGTCTAACAGACACAGACCTAACCATAATCTTCAGAAACTGAGAGCGGCATCTTATTTTTGTGAAAGATAGGGTGTACCACATTTTTTAACCTGCACAGTCATTCTGGACACCAACTTGCGGGTAAAACAGTGGCCCCAAAGAAACTGACAGAAAAGGTTTTTCCACACAGATATGTTCAAAAGATCTACTTCTTTTCTACAGACACAATTTAGGGGATTTGCTAGTTGAGTTGATGAAAAGATACAGGGATTCAAGGTTCTAAGTCCAAGATACTGGACTTTACTGGAGCCCTGATATACCTATGTGATTTCTACATACACTGCACCACTTAACCAGGTAAGTGGATAGGTATTTAAACTCGCTGCCTGTGAACATTGCAAACATCTTCAGAGGTAAGTTATTAGGGAATGCAAGTGTCCTTATCCAAAACTAACAGGCAAAAAACGAAAAACCATGCTAGAACATGGACATTTTTAAGGCCAAGAGCCTTTAATACAGTTTTACGGCATTTCAGATATAAAATGAGGCAGAACTTGCAAAAAGACAACTACCAGAAGGATAAAAAGCAAGACCATGGGAAAACACGATTACGTTTAACAAGCAGCTATTCAATTCGGCAAGTTTCTTTTTTTCATTTCAAGCAGAAAACTGAAGGCACCGAAACAGCCCACTGACCTCCTACTTACCTATCCAATCTGACAGCGGCATAATCCTTATGATTTATTAAGAGTTTCAAATAGAAGGAGCCCCCATGCATGGCTATGCCTCCCACCCACAGCTGCTGGGTTTTAGCAGACAGAGAGGGAGCTACTGCATCCTACCCTCACGCTCCTCGGTGTGGAGCCATCTCCGCCAGGCAGCGGGGACTTGGGGGGGCCAGGGAACGTCCCCCCATCTGCCATAACCAGCAAAGCCCCATGCAAAGTGGCCACAGACCTGTGAGGAAGGTCTCCATGAGCTCGCTGTGGGTCATTTTCACAATGGTCCTCCCAGAGTAGGTCGCAAGCGTTGGATCAGCACCGTAAGACAGCAACAGTCGGACAATTTCCAAGTGATCGTTTTCAACCGCATCATGGATTGGTCTAGGGAAAAATAAAAAAGATCACAGTGTTACATTTTGACTCAATCGTATTAAACAAATGTGTTTGAAAAGAAACTTCTTCAGATCAAAGTTATTTATAGCAAATAACACCATTAATACAGCTGCCAATCATCTCATTGTCAGTTTTACTTGCACATCATCCCCTCCCCTCTTGTCTTTTCACAGTCAGACTGCTCAGGGCAGATATTTCTGTTACATCTATTCATTGCCGTACATATTTCGAGGGCTAGTAAAATAATTACACCGCTGTAACAGAGAGCAGGAGTTTGCATGAAGCCTCACAAACATAATTTTGCTGCGAGTCACTCTACCGTTCCAAATCTCTGCCAATTTAACACTGTGTTGTGGAGTAAGGCTCATTCAGACTGCCTCTGGGCAAGCACGGAAATCAGTTACCCAAAGCTCCTAAATTATGTACACAGAAATAAGTTATGAAAATTTGCTGGGAATTAAACTTCTGTGCTATATCCTCTTTAAATAGTACTTGCGAATATATTTGCAGCACAATTCAACCCTTCTACTCGGAGAATAGAAAAACATGTTATTTTAAGTTTAGTCCACCCAGAAGTTAACACATTTTACGTGGCATGAGAAATCTAAGCAAGCTCAGACATAGATTTTGTGAGCCTACAGAACGATTATTCATTAATACGCATGCCTGCAATTCCAGGTTTAGAATTCCTTATTGCTAATTATAAATCGCATTAACTTTTGCCTCTAAAATTGATTATACGTAACGGGGAGTTGTCTGGAAGTAGAACATATTACCCTTCAGACTAATGAAGATGTGTTAAAATCCCATCTCTTCCTTAGACAGCGATGAGCAGAGGAACTGCCAGCAATCATGGCAGTTCAGCTCAACTCTACACACCTCCTCCTTTAGGCTGTCAACACCACTGCCCCCCAACAAGGCTTTCAAGCTTTTGAGAGCTTGAAAGCCTTGTTAAAGGCGAGAGAAGTAAGGAAGGACTTTAACTAGGATCATGTATTGCCCTCCTGGAAAGCTTTCAGAATGACATTACAAGGAGAAGTCGTCTGGAAGCACAGACAAGCAAACCCCTCAACTGTCTACCAAACTGCCGAGCAACGCTTGGCTAACAACCACAGCTGAAACTCCCTCTGCAAGGAGGCCACGTCCCTTCTGCCACATGTGGCAACGTCCCCTCGATGTCACCACCGCTTCGGTATGGGCTGGCATCCACGTGAGCTCAGGGCAGGGGAGAGGCAGATCAAACCAGTCAGAAAAGGAAGGCACACCACCGTTTTCCCATCTATCACATAGTGCTGCTGGTAGCAGGGGGACTCTGACCCACCCCAAAAAGAAGTATGTTCCAGGTGCATTTACGCCAAGTAGGAGTAAACACTTTCCAGTAGGCTCTGACTTGGGGAATTAACATCTGTCACATGTGAAGCACTCTTGCTTGCCCCCATCTTGCTGGAAAGCTGTATGCAGTTGCGGTTTTGGCATATGGACCCTATACTGACATGAGGTGAGGGTTTGTGGCTCCTTCCCTATGGAAAAAGGGATTATCCCAAGCTGCCTGCTTCCTGCACTCCCCAGGCCACCAACACAGCAAACAAGCAGGTGATCCTTGAGCGGCTGAGCACATACTTCAATCCAGTTTGTGCCACCCCTCAGACCCCCGGGACCAGAGCACGCAACACGTGCACACCTTCAAAGCCTGATGGGCCACTCTTTGGAAAGCCACTTTCAAGTTCTAAGACCAGAGAGGTCCGTGAGGATTGCTCGCAAAGGGTCAGGATATCCCTTCTCAATTTCTCAGGGAAGTCTCGTAACAGAACACTGAAACTGTCTGACGCCCTCAAGACAGCCAGTGCTGGAGATGCCAGCATTTCCAGGGTCCCCCAAAAGCCTCACCCTCCCACCTCCACCTACGGATCCAGTTCTTTTGCATAGGGGCTGCCGCAGCATCACATCCCTACACAGGCCCCAGTGCATCCAGGACCTGGCCGGTGCTAAACATCCCGGGCGATACAACACAATAGGTAACAAATAAGGGTGCTGGCACAGAGGCTGGAGATGTATCGGGTGTCTCTGGCTGTCAGCAAGCATATGAGGCCTGAGCTGTCGGGTCACGACACTCCAAGCATCTACAGCGGGAAAGGTCAGCCTTGCTGCAAACCCTCCTGTCCCTCCCCGGGCATGAAGCATCCCCAGCTGGAAGGCTGGCCACAGGCACTGGGAAGAGATGGGAGTTACGGCTGCTGCCAAATGCTGGGGATGCTTTTTTCTCCCCCATTCCCTCACCTTACTGGAGTTTTAAATTTTGAACTGTTTTCCATTTTATTTTAGAATTAGGATTTTCTGGCTTTGGGTGGGGGTGGAGAGCATTGTGGGTTTGTTGGTTTTGAGTTGTTTTTTTTTTTTTTGGTTGTTGTTGTTTTGCTTGTTTGTTTGTTTTTTTTTAAAACTGACTTACCTAAGTGGCTTTTGAAGCAGTAATGAATTCAAGATGATCCCTTATTAAAAACAGCATCTAAATCACCACCCAGTGTTTCAAGTGATTTAACAGCACCCGGAGAAGTTTATTAAAGGGTGCCTGGGCATCCTCCAGGAAGGAAAAATCACAGCAACAGCACATGGGTTGTAACCCTGGGATGGGACCCCCTCTCCCTTCCTATGGGTCACCCAGCCTGGTGCAGTGGTGCAGACAGGGGCAGGCAGCAGGGCAGGCAGCCCTGTCGTTGTTGCCTGCCAGAGCACAGGGGGGCCAACCTGGGCACGAGGAAGGACTTTATAGAGGCAAAGGGAAGGAAAGGCGCAGTAAAGCCACATGGAAGGAGGAATAACAATAAATAGAAGGCAGCAAAGGAAGGAAAGAAAACACTGGTGGGGAGGGAGGGAAGGAGATTCCCCATAGATAAGGCAGGGGAAAAAAGGCAGTAACAGAGTGCTGACAGACTCTCTTACTGGCTAGCACAGCTTCTTGGCAAGCTCACGAGCAGGACCATGCAAAGGCACAGCTACTCGTTTGCTTCTCCCACCAGGGCTGGCAGAGGAGGGAGTACTTTTCAGTCTTGGCAGAGTTTAACCGTCCTCTTTGTAGGATGCAAAAGTGTCTACTGGAGTCGGCAACTTTTTCAGATGTGAAAAAAAGATCCCTGGGACTCATCTCCTGGGCTGCTTTGCCCATATAATCTTTTCCGCCCTGAGCATCATGGAAATAAACACTCTCTATCCCTAATGGTACAGTTAACTGTAGTACAGCGTGTTTCTAAAACAAACCCTTCAAAAGGCCCCAGAAGGATCTGGGGACATTCGAGAGCTGCAATATCCTACAGGAGACACACATCTCAACCCTCTCTTGTGTACTGTCGAATTCTTCCTACTATTTTTACTGCTATTAGAGTCAGGAAAACATTTCACTGGGGGTTTATCATTCCACCACCAAAATTATAAACTATTTAGACCACTCAGGGTTTGCTCTCAGCCTTTCAGGCACCATCAGAATCTTCCTTGCTGCAATACGAGGTCTAGTAACTTGCTGAGGAATACCATAACTTGGCATATTAGCTTTATTTCCATCTACTCCATTATGCAACGCTGCCCCACGGAAGAGGCAAGGCACAAGTTGCAGGGGGGCAGCTACGTCGGCTGCCTCTTCTTTAACGCAGTTAGCTGCTGGAGGGTATCACTCTGCCAAGACCAGCTGAAAGGACGCAGGAAGAGAGCCATCTTGGCATGGGCCTCCCAGGGAAAAAATAAAAAAGGCTGAGCTCATCAGCTGCCAAAGAGGAGGATAAAGCAAAACTGGCTGCGGAGAGCAAATCTAGCGAGTGAACTCTGAAGCAATGGAGAGGCCTCGCTAACAGGCAGGAGATGCCTGCATTTTTGGCATGTGGCTTTGTTTTTTAAGGTTGTGCCGGTTCAGCTAGGGCACGCTGAAGAGGTAAGAGGAGAACAAATTCATAAGGCCAAATACACCAGCAACCATCCTTGCTAACGTCAGGCACTGGTCCTCAAATGCCCTCTGTCCAGCTACTGCACTTATCGGGGTCCTGTCAGGGAAGGAAAGCACTCACCTCTCAAGCACGGTCTATTATTATTTATGGCTAAGACGATTAAGAGCCCTTAGTGACTGTGGCACCTCTGAGACAGGTCTTAAAGATCACGCCAGGTTCTACAATAATCTCTGATTAGCCACTAATTCAGCAGCAGAGTGCTTGTGTATTCAGGGTCTGCAGGCGCTGCATTTGGAAAGACACAATCAGCATAGAGTTTATGGGGAAAACCACAGAACACCTCCGTATTTAGCCGGGACAGACGTGCTGTGAATAGGGCTGACAGAGGGACATCGTGCGCTGCAGGCAGCGGTGTGTGCGCAGGCAGAGCCCCAGCGCTGAGCTGAGGGCGAAGAGAAGGACTGCACCATACCTATGATGTAGTGTACGCACAAATCTGCTTTTCAGGTAACACCTACAGCCCCCAAACGCTGTCACCTCCTTGCCCTGCCACTACAGCCTGGCGCTTGTTTGTTTTTGGCTTCACCAAGATTTCTGATAGTATCAGGAACCTGAGGCTGAAAGCCTGCCTTATCTACTGAACTCAGGACAGACTGGCTGTGTAGGTACATAAAAGGCAACACAAAAGCAAGAGGCTCAGGTCTTTGCTTGACTTTCAAAACTTAAACACACGCATGCAAAACCACCACAGTGATGGGAGCACCTGCAGCACTTCAGACAGGGCTGAAAGGAGCAATGCATGGACTTTGCAGAACTCTCCTACTTCCTTCACGTTCATACGGACATTTTATTCAGATTGAAGCCACATCCTCGCCCGCCCCAATTTTTCAGAGACTGTCCTCCGAAAAGTTGACCACAGAGGCGGCAGGCAGCAAATAACAAGCAGACGGAAGCTTCAGGCGGCTGGGATTCAAGTGCCACCCTGGGCAGCGATGCTAACAACCACATCGTACGCAGTGACATCGCAGCTCATGCAATTACATCACTCCTCTACACAGATTTACGTTAACTGGCTGAACAGAACTAAACACATCTAACTGCTACTGCTTGAGAGCTTCCACCACAACCAAAAATATCTTTGGCTAGTGGGCTTGTGAGGTGGGGGAAGGGGCAATAAGGCATATTCAAGTGCACTTAAAAAAGCAGGGGAAATGGAGAAGCCTTTGATGTTGGGTTTGTTTGGGGTTTTTTGGTTTTAACATATCTTTCCAAGGGGTGACCAAGTTCAGGAATTTGAATTTAAAAAGCAACAGATTTGAGGAAGACTGACACTTCCTTTCTCCTAAGAGGTAAAGGACAAAAACTTACCAAGGCTCCAAGAGAGAAATGGGATTTGTCTTACAAATGTCATGATATACTCCACAGAGACAGAGAAGTCTGGCCCTACCAAAAGGCCGTGGGTAACACGGATCAGAAGTTCCCTACAGAAGAGTCTGCTCTCTGTCCTGCCCAACTTCGGGCAGTTAGATCATCTTTCATCTGTATGTTAGATGTGTTTTGGATTCATGCTGTCTGTTGGGCAGCTTTTCAAAGAAAAAATAACTCTGCCATCAGAAAAGAAGGGAACCGCAAGCTGAGTTCTGACATTACCGTCTACAATCAGATCATTATCATATTCATTTCTAAAATGCATTTTCCCCAAAACAACTTTTCAGGGTACACAAGCCAAGTTTCTTTCTTGAAAATCAGCTCCATCTGTGAATCGAAATCAAAGGTGGACTCTGAACAGGCGGGTGATTAAGACTGGTCAGAAACTACCTGGGGTTAATCTTCTATATAGGTTATTCCAGCAAGTGAGACAAAAATAATTTAGGAATCTTTTTATGGCAACCAGCCGCTGTTGCATACATCACCTATTAAAGCTGGAGACAGCAGAAAATGAGGGTCTGTTTGTCAGCCCAGAGAGCTGAGAGTTCTTACAAAGAAGTCAGAGATGGAGAAGGAAGCTGACAACTCAGCCAAAGTTTCAATGTTTCTCCAGAAAGGTCTCCATTGAGCCTTGATGGGCCAGTAACATCTGACCATCATGAACTTCTAATGGACCATCCTAACTGGCCCTCTTGGGACTTTTGTTTCCCTGACTCCTCCCTTCCCAAATTTATAAAGAACTTAAAAACAAAAGAGGCAGACTCTTAGTTATGCTAATTTTATCTCCCAGGCTATTTGGATGGTGATAGTGAATTCGATAAACCATTTAAGATAACAAGCTGCAGGAGCTCCGCAGAATACAAAGCCACCCATCCCCAAAATGCAAAGGCTGGATAATGTTCTGCATATGCTGAGGACAAGTTACCCCAAGGTCAGCCCCACACAGGTGGTCGAAGGGGTACTCAAGGAGATGCACAAGCAGCTTAACAAAAGGTGGGAAGCGGCATTTCTATCTCCACAAAGCAAAAAAGTAAAGCTCACTATCTATTCTGTGAGCACAGGAACTAAGCACCCCTACAATTCTGTGAAGGAAACTAAAAAACACTAATACGGATTAAAAAAAAATTCCAAACTATCAAATGAGCAGATAGTTTAACAGTTCAGCAAAACAACATTTTTATATCGCATATATAGGACTTGCACACCCAATCGCGACAAAACCCTTTAATGCTTTTGAAAGTAACCCTGCTAACAATGCAAAGCCCACTCTTTTGGCACAACTCGAAGGACCTGGAGCGCACAGGAGCAGGGCTGCAGCTCAAGCAGCACTCCTTCCTGCCCTGCAGCCAGCAATTCCACAAACTCTTAAAAAAAAAAAAAAAAAAAAAAAAAAAAACCCAAAACATAAACCACAACTTTTTAATATTCCCAGAAGGACAAAAAAAAAAAAAAAAAGACACCGAACTTGAGTCACAACAAAAGTGTGCACCCACCGCTTTCGTAACCAGAGTCCTGCACGCTCCCACCCGAGGACCAGCACTAAGGAGGACACCGTGCAGGAGGGCTTGGGCACCTTACCTGCTCCAGGGGGTTCGTGCAGGATGGGGAGGGGGGACAAGGGGAGGGCAAAGGAGAGGCACAGAGCAAAGGGGCGCTTCCTCCCACCACCGCGGCCAAAGAAACCGCTGCCCGGCGGTGGCGACCACCCGAAGCTGGGCCAGGGGTGCTGCTCACCTGGTTCCATCCTGGGCACTGCAGTTGACGTCAGCCCCGTACTCGAGGAGATGCCGCACGATGCTCAGCCAGCCTCTGGCGCAGGCCTCGTGCAGGGCACAGTAACCCGCGTTGTCACGATGATTCACATCACACACCTTGTTTTCCAAACAATACAGAACCACTTCCTGGAAATAGGAGAAAGAGATGCATGGAGTTATTTCTGGCTGTGGAGATGCACGTAGTTCTCTTCTTGAAGGAAAAGGGCGGGGGAGGGGGTGGGGCAGAAAAAGGCAAACCCACAAAATCCCTACGATATTGCCTAAATTATCCTCTTTGAGATGGGTCAGTCAAAAGGAAAAGAAAAGGGAGAGCTGTTGAAAGTTCTGTTTCTTCAGGAGACATAGCGGAGACCTCAACTTCCTGCAAGCAGACTGGCTTCTGCAAGCCAGCACCAAGAGCTCTGTGCCCCGCAGGGACCTTCCCACAGCCCCCAGCGTCAGGGACTGCCGCAGAGGGGGAACGTGCAAATTACACAGACAAAACTCAAAGCTTGCCACTTCTCAAAACTTCCATGCGTAAAGCTAGCAGCAAGGTTTTTACTCTTACATCTGCATTTTTTAGCAGAAAATTCTGCAAGCACAACAGCAGCACAGCCGACGTCAGTTTGATTTTAAAAAGAAAAAGCGCATGACCTGAAACAAAACACATTTAAGACACACAAAGGACAGTTTGCTATTGGCAAACAAAAAAAAGCCCGGTTCTATCAAGATCAGGGAAATCCCATTTTCACCCACCCTGGTTTTCTGCATGCAGAACTAAAGCCAGGCACCAGGTTCCAATAACGAGACCCACGCCGTGGGAAGCCATGTGAATTTAACACAATTCATCTTACAGTCAAATATACCACGGTTGAGAGCCTAGACCAGACTCAGCTCTACGCCGTCATGCAGCCTTGAAACAATGACTGCTCCATCACTCAACCAAAAATTTAGGATGGTGAGAGCCTTCCTCGATTTGTGTCAGATGCAAAAGAAAAAAAAGCAAACACATTTCTAAGTGACTCTGTATGTCTAAAATAGCCCCTGCATTCCCAGGTTAATGGTAAGCCAGTAATTTTGCATTTGCTCCTCTCAAAGGCTGAGTAACATCCTCATAACACCAAATACGGCGTGGAGGGGGCGAGTGCTTGCTTTGCCAAAACAAGAGAATAAAACAACCGCCATGTGCGATGCATTTATTCTTCCCCTTTCAAAATCTACCAGAAAGCCCACAACAATCTGTGCTCTGGGTATACCTGACCCAAGAGCTCGTATCCAGGATACAGCATGAAGCTGCTCTTTTAGCAGGCCCTCACTAACCAGGCTGGAACGGGGAGCTAATGAGCTGCCTGTCCCAGGCGCCGGAGCACCCCCCTCCTCACCTGCCACCGGGATGAAGCGGTCCACCACCTACACCTGATGCACCCACTGGTTTAACCTGGGATCCTCAGTCCCACCTCTCGCTGAACAGGGGCTCTTCATGTTCCTGCTAATCAGCCCAAAGGCCAAAAACCGGTCCGGAACAGATGCTCTTTACCCTGCACTCGCTCAAACCCGTAAGAAAGGGCTGTGCAAAATTATACCCTGGAGGTATGAATTTTCCTTCAAAAACAGACCACCCTGTCAGGCAAATTAGCAGATGGATATAGGTAGCAGAAGCAGCTGCCCATATTTGGCTCCACTTTTAGCATGAAGTTACCATTTAAGTAGATTCTGCAACTCAAAATAAAAGACCTTTCATCTATTTTTGTAAAAAGGAAAGGCTCGTCCTAGGGCGGAATACCTACTACTGGACGAAAAGGCTAATTTTGTCGGGCAATTCTGTGTTAAGAGGCTATAAGAAGAATGTCATTAACCACAAAATATAACCATAAAGACCATAAAACTCTACATTGTTAATTAATTAAATGCCTCATTAACTTTTTTTAACATGATTTATTCAATTTACAAAAAAATTAGCCACCACTGCCGAATACAGGAACATGTGGCGCCACAAACACACTTTCGGTTTCATAAGCATCTCTCCCTAACGTTAGGGAAAGGCTGTGAAAGCGCCACAGGGCAATTTAATGTCTGTTCAGGTGCTCTATTTAAACCAGCAATGTGAAAAACACTCGCAGTGAATCCAGAGAGTCAAGCTAGCACATCACAGCCAAGATACGTGCCATCGCTGCTTCTGCTGTCTGCAGTTTGTTAGCCAAACTGCAAACAGCAACGCTAAAAGGCGCGTGCAAATATGCATGCTCCATCCTCACCTACAGAGGTGCCCTTTGCTTTCATCTCTCCCACCCGCGCTCTGCAGCAGCTCCTGCCTCTTTTCCAAGGGAAGGGGTCAGCATCCCCCCTGCACATCCCCTGTGCCCTGGGCACGCATGCTGCCACCAAGAAGCACTATTCCACTCCACCCAACCTCAAAACACGGCCCTTGGGTGAGCGGTAACACTTCCGCGCAGCACCGTGTCAAACCCCAGAAGCAATGTTCATTCCCAGGCAGGGTGCAGGAGCCCTGCGGGAGCTACACAAGAGCAGGATGACGCCCAGAAGCTGCAGCTCGAGGGCAGGCTGATGCTCAGGAGCTCCTGCTCTTGTGGCAGTGCCACCCCCAGTGACCTAGGGCCAGACCCTTGTGTGATGCATCCCCAGGGCAAACCCTCTCCCCCAGTCTGGGTAAACCACCTGGAAACAAACACCCTACCCCTATCACACACCACACATTCCTCTACTTCCACTGCCTTTCCAGGCAGGATTTAATCCCAAATTCAGAGAACTTTCCAAATCCAGACACACACCAAAAATCAACAAGCAGCACAAAGACAGCAGTGTTTCCTCTCCCATCAAATTCATTACGCAAGCCTTTTGTAATTTTTTTCCGAAAAAGACTTTACACTCCCTATAATTCCCCCTTCACAAAAAGTAAATTACAGTTTTAAGACTACTATTATCTCAAGTCATTTGTTTCAAATGGGGAAAACAGAATAGATTCGAGAGCGCCCATACACTGGGATGGGTTGCTAATACCCTGATGAAGCAAGGCTTGGCGCAGAAGCCTAGCAAAGAAAAGGCAAAGCTTCCCACCAGCTTCGGCAGGGTTTTGCTCAGACCGTACAGATTTCTAGAGCCGAAGATGGTTTGCCGCACTGCCTTAAAGTAGCCTTGCTGGCTGCAGCCCTGCAATTTATCTGACCAGACGCAAGCCGCATTTGTCCTTCGACGTTTCACTCTCGTGTCAGCTTTTACACACAAAACTAACCGTTTGTGTCCTCCTTCCCGCAGCCATGTGCAGCACATGCGTACTGTGCGGTTCAGAGTGGGGCAGAGGCACATGAGCTAGTAGCATTTGGGCTCCTCATGGGTCCAGGAGCAATATATACAGCTCGCCAGCACCTCCGCGTGCCAAAGGTGCCAGCGCTGCCTCTGGGTTTGGGGTAGGATCTCTGCAAGGCCGCAGGGCATCCCTGCTGCAAAGGCAGGCAGTCTGCCAAGGGCAGGCAGGAGGAGCTCATCCGCTCTCAGGGCAGAGCTGCTGGTGCTGCTCTGTCCCTCACAGCGTTCCTGCCGCCCTCGGGGCTCCGGGGTGCCCCGCGGTGCCAGCCACCTCCAGCTCCCAGTCCTGCAGCAGCACTCGGGTGTCCCTTCGCAAGCTGTGGCCCTGGCGATGCAAACTGCTCTGCCCCCCCTGCCACCACGCTGGGAAGGGGCCGCAGGGCCGCCCGCTGCCCCCGCAGCAGCCGTGAGAAGCCCCCAGGAACCCACGAGCACCCAGCGCTCCCGCTGCGGCGTCAGCCCCTGGCCGGCGCGCTGCAGCCACCAAAGGTTGCTGCCCTGCTAACGAGGATGGCAGAAAACAGACATGTGCAGCCGCCACAGGTCACAGACCAGCAAATTACCTCATCGAGACTTTTTCTTCTTTTTTTTTCTTTTTTTAATAAGAGGAATTTCTTGACCGTTCTAATTTTTCTGGGGACAGAGGAAATTCAGCTTTCTACTAACTGTGGTAGTCTGGTCACTAGCAAGAAAAACACCACAGCTACAGAGCTTCCATGGCTGACCAAGCTATCACAGCTCACCACAGGCCAAATGAGCCCTGAGAGGGCAGCGCAGCCACCCACCGCTCCAAGCCTTGAAAGACACAAAGGATGCCGGGTCCCGGCGACAGCTTGGGCACACGGACCAGGCTCTTGCCCCTGCCCCGCTCAGCTCTCCTGCCCCGTGCTCCCCCAACAACAGGAGCTGCCCACAGCGCTGTCAACGCTGGCCAAATGATCAAGTCAAACAATTGGAATATTCAAGGCTATTAAAAACGTGGTGTTCATGTGAACTTTTGTGTGAATACAAGTCAGAAGACCAAATCAGCCGATGATGGGAAGGCATGGTGAATGCACAAGGCTACCTCAGGGCACCAGGACCCCCACCTTGGCGAGCCCAGGCATCCTCAGCTTTCTGCAAGCAGCCTGCCCATGGCCAAAGCTGCAGAGAGCTCCCGCTACCAGCAAAGCAAACAGAGAGCCTTCAGGTCCTGCTCGGGCAAGACCCCAGCCCACCACGGAGTGTCGGAGCTGCTCCCATTGAGCTGCGCTCAGCGGAGCGTGCCAGGCACAGAAAGCGAAGTGCCCAACTGTACTCACCCCAACAGACACCACGCGGGAAGAAAATACACACCAATAGCTCAGAGCACACGCTACAACACATTTTGATTCTGGATCCATAGGAAATTTTAGGTCCGTAGGAAATTAAATCATTTAAATTATGGAGATCACCATAGCAACGTTGTAACAACCACTTCTCCTCCTCCTCCTAGCTAGAGCTGAAATGCCCTGGGTTAGAAGAAGCCTTTGTCTAGGGTAAACAAAACCTTTCCAACAAACCCTGCCTTCCAGAGCTGGGGAAGGCCTCTCCCCACACAAAGCTCCCTAGCTACACAAAGGGCATTTCGAGGTTTCTACAAACCCCTGAGGCTGGGCAGGCTCCACCTGGGCCCGGGCTGATGCCAACTTCCAGCACGGGGCTCAAGCCCAGCTCTAGAGGTCCCAGCACTCCTCTCACCGCCAAGGCGAACCCCGCAGCCGTGCCGAAGGCAGCCATCGCTCTCAGCAATGAAACACCTCTTCCCGAGATCTGAAGTTGAGCAACAACAATGCTCATACCTACATACCCATATTTCCCCAATAAAAGCGTGCTTCAAAACAGCAGACCTAGGGGATTCATCGGTTTCTGATTTTTGTAGCAACAGGGGGGCCGTTTCATTAGACAACATTGTTCCAGCTACGCTGAGCAGCTCCAGACGCCGAGCATAAAGCATGCAGAGTGCTCCTACGATGTATCTGATCATGCAGGAGGACACTCCAAGCGTTACATCCTGTGTCACATACCAGATACTCCTTGGAGAAAAGAATAAAAAATTAAACCCTTCTCCTAAACTACACGCTCTTCACAAAGAACAAAAGCAAAAATCGTACCGCTTGTTAAAGATCACCATAAAGACTACATCAAAATAAAAAATCAAATAATAAAAAAAAAAAAAAAAAAAAAAAACCAAAACAAGAACCAAAACATATTCATTCTATTCATTCTGTTTGCAGATGGTTGATATTTAAACAGAGGTGAGGGTTACCGATAAAATCTTCACCCTTTGCTCATTAACGGAGGAGGACGCACCCCCTGCGTCCCCAAAGCAGAGGGGACTCACTCCTGCAGTGACCTACGCCCAGACCCCGCGCGCCGGCAAAGGGAACGCAGCGGGGGGCGGCGGGGGGGGGGGGGGGGGGGGGAGCTGCAAATTTCATCAACCAAACTCACGAAGCTGCTGCTTCGCAAAATTTCCATCTATCAACTTCCGAAATAAAAAAACTCCACCCTGCCGCAGGGCGTCGAGGGACCCTTACCTCGTACCCCAGGCGTGCCGCCCGCTGCAGCAGCGTTTCCCCCGCGTTCTTATTGACAATAAGCCTCCGCGCTTCGGGCGGCATGGGCCGGCTCGGGGTGGTCTCCTGAGGGGGGCTGGCGATCGGCAGCTGCGAGGGCTGTGAGACGGGTAGCAATGAGGGAGTCTGCTGCAGGCGGTCGTACAGCTTCTGCTCGTACAACTTGGCTGGCGAGGAGTCGCAGTCTGAAGTAGGCTCCGGTCGCTTCCTGACTTTCCTCGTTACCGTGACCTGTCAAAACCATTATTGTGGGGTTTTTTTGATCCTCGTTTTCACAATGCAGCGACAGGATTATATTTTGCCAGCAAAGAATTACACTCTTCTACTGATACTTGATTTTTTAAGGAATACCTACTACAGCTTTTAAATGCAAGATGCCTCACCGCCTGCAATAGTGTCTTTAACTTGGGTTAAGAAAAGCAAACACAAAATGTGCAAAGCATCCCCAGACGAAGGTGAATGCAATCCCCGCTACCCTGCATGCACGACAGCGCGTTAGTTTTAAGCAGGCTGGCTCTGCCTTCTGAGAGGCTGGTGGACAATTAAGTCTAAATAAAGATACCTTATCTTCAGCATTTTCGATATCTGTGGTGTCATCCCCTGTCAGAGATGACCTCCTTCTCCTCTCCTGCAGTGCCAAGTGTTTTGTTTTACACTGACGTTTCCCTGATGGCTTCTCACACTCGCTGTATTTCTGCAGCAAAGATGCATGTTGGAAATCCTCCTCTTCGTCTGTGTACAGCCCATCTGTCTTCCGGCTTTCTTTAATTTTCTGCTGTTTGGCAGCCAACCTCGAGGCTGGAGTACAGCTTGGCTGAGCCTGCCTTTTGCTGTTTGCATTGGTGGATGAAAGGCTCTTCATGTGCGGAGACACTGGGAATACGGGCAAGCCTAAATGGGAAGGAAAGGCATTACACACTGCATGGTGCGTGCCCATGGAAAACACGTTGCAAGCACTTAACACAAGCTCCTCGACTGCGTAAGAGATCTACCAATTACATTTTCAAATCATTAATATTTTAAGCGTTCCACATTCAAACTGTAAATAGCATCCTGCCAGTTGATGTTACGTTAACAGTTGTAACGCCCCGATAAAAATTGCTGAGCGAACTGCCCCACGCCAGGTGCCGGGGCACCGCGGAGGCCGTGGGGTGCCGTGGGGTGCCGTGCCGGTTCGGCGCTGCCGCAGCCCAGCCGCCGCAGGCAGAGCGGAAAGCCGCCGCGGCACCGCCCCGCTGGGGGAAAAACTCGCCTCCTTACCTGGAACTGCTTTATCTGAAGGGGAACCAACTCCTCCGGCAGCCTGGGCCTGGCCGGGCTTGTCCGCCCTTGGCAAGGTGTGGTGGCAGGGCAGATACAGCGATGGCAGGGGAGGAGGGGAAAGCAAGAGAGGCGGGAGCGTGGATGAGGTCCTAATGGGACAGCACCGGGGGAACGTTGGGCTTAGCCCTTAAGATGGCAATAAGACAGGGAACATCTCCTTGGCACCATGTTTACTTAAAAAAAAAAAAAAAAAAAAAAAACACAAACCAAGAGAAGTAAGGCTACTCAAGGAGCCGTCCCTACAGAAGCTCTGTGCAAACTCTCTATCAAAAAGCGTGAGGATTCTGCAGCAAAAGCAATCAGCTGTGTTTTCCCAGACTCCATCCAGAAGTGAGTCTTTCTGTGAGATCAGAAAGCCCTGGGACGTTTGGGGAACTGAAGCCAGTGCTCTGCTGCCCATGGCAGGATACTGGTAGGGCTGTGTTTTCTCCGGGGGTTAGCTCTAACAGGCTGGATCCCATAATCTGGGCCACATGCAAAAAGCATGGTTACTTTTTTTTTTTTTCCCCCCCAGAGTGCAAGCAGGTTTACAACAAAACAAGGACAGGAAAGTTGACTTTTTATAGTCTGAATTTCCCTTGGGAAGAGAATTGAGGTGACCTCAGAACCAACTCCTCTGCAGAAAACTTAAAGGTTGCTGGAAAGGAAGGGACACTTCAGCCAAACAATACCACACCACTGAGGGAAGGTGTGGAAAAAACCCTGAGCACTTGAAAGAGGCTCCTTTGCTCCGAGAAGTCTCAGAAGTGATGCTACTTTCAGAACAGAAGAGATGGCAGGAGCAAGTAAGGCAGCTGCTCAGAGAAGAGAGACCTTTATTTAAAGAGACTCAATCCAGAGCCAGTCAGTAAAATAGAAAATAAAATCTAGAATCCTCTTGGTGGGCAGCTTCACACTTTTGTCTCCCTTTAAATAGATCTGTGAAAGCAACTTGCAGAAGGCTTTCTAGATTAAAGATGAAAACAGAAATCCCTCAGTTCTTTCGAGCCACTTCGTAGAAAAAGATGCATATCACGGCTTGCCAAGCAGATGTCAGGGAATTTACGGGACACACAATGTGCAGATTGTTCAGCAAAAATCCAGTAAGTTTTTTAGGCTTTGCAATGCTGAAGGAAGGTGCCTAGTCGTAGGCTGAGCCTATGGATGCAAGGCTGCCTTTCCAATTCTGCAGACAGCACGATGTAAGGACTCTTTAATTCTCCTGTTCCCAACTAACCTAATTGGAGTAGCGTGTGAAAAGCCCAATTCCAATACAGAACTATCATCATTATCTACTTAATCACTTACTAAAAAAACTGTGAAGACGGAAGGCAGTAGCGATGAGGTCTGGTGAGTGTAAAGGGAAGTAAGAAACTGCTGCACGTAGAAAAACTGGAATAGAAAGAAAAAAACTCACAGGTCTGGAGGACAGAAATACCGAAAGGATGGAGGAAAAAAACACAGGAAGAGAAGCCTATCTCAAAGAACTGCAGGCTTTCCCATGCAGGGATAGCAAAGCATTAAAAACCGAGGTTTAATCACCACAAAATATGTGTACTCTAGCCTGCAAGCTCCACGTAAACTCTGTGCTCCACTTTGACCCTCCACAGTGGTGACAGCAGGCACCAGGCTAAACGTGCACCACAGCTAAGAGATGGAAAGTAACAACGCTACGCCCAGGAGCTTTGGGATCAATAACGTTGTGAAAGGCCAGCGCTATCCAGAAAAAGCCAAGCATCAGCCTGAGAAATGTAAGACAACCCGGGCAGAAAAAAAAGGCAAGTGATTAATCCTGGAATCCCACCCCATCTTTCTGACCACTATATATGTGAAGTGAGAAGAAAAACAAAAGTGAGCAGGAATATCCCCAAATATCCGTGGGGGAAAAAAAAAAAAAAAAGCAAAACAAAAAAACAAAACAAAACAAAACAAAAAATAAAAAAAAACAACGAACCAAGCAAAAACCCAAAAAAACCCAGGCCTCCGACTGATGTGGGTTGTGGCAAGTCTGACTCAGAGCAGGACTGGCCTCCCTCCCCGCGGGAGCGGGCTGCAGCGAGGTCCACGCGGAAAAGCAGCTGCTGCCGCGTCACCTGAATGCTCGCTTGTTCGGCTCCCGCCCCGGCAGCTGCCTCCTCCTGCCTGCCAGGCCGGCGGCCGCCGCGCTGCCGGCACCCCAAGGCGGTCCGAGGGGCAGGCAGCGGCTTTCCCGGCGGGCGAGATCCTCCCGGCTCCTCTCCGCGCGGCTTTTGTTGCCGCGCTTGCCTGGGTTTTCTCCTCCCGCCGGGTAAGCAGCTGCGGCTCCCTGGGGGGCTGTCGGAAGAGCTGGCTACCCCACCGCGGGCAGCAATGGCTCAGCCGGGGCCCCGGCAGAGATCACGGCCCCCGCCTCGGCCACGGGTCCGATGGAGCAAGCGGCACGATGCCCTGAGGTTGCAGGCATCCCCGCGCTCCCGGACCTGCTGCACCCCGGAAAGCCAGCACGGGCAACATCACCTCGCGAGCAGGATAAGGCAGGGCCTTGGTATTATTTTGGGCAAGCCACATCGCAGCTCTCGCGGTTCTGACCCACATGTGAGGCTGCACGGAGGCAACGGCGGGAAGAGTCACTGGGGGAACATTTCCAGCAGCCACCGGTTGGTCACCACGCCAGCAGGTGCTGACCAGGAGACAGCGGGGTGACAGCCCGTTGGCAGCCTGCAACGCAACTCATGACTCCTCTCACACTAAAATCCCAGGTTGAACGCCACTGGAACAACAAGCCCAGAAGTCAGCACCCTCCGCCTTCCCAGAGATTTGCAGCCTCAGGTGGCAAATCATCCTGCTGTTCGACTGAGGCTTCACCGGCACAGGCACCGATGCCCTGTTACAGCCCTCTCCTTGGGATACAACCAGCTTCCCAGCAGCAGATTGCCACGTTCGCAGGCAGTGCTTGGGCACTGGGAACAATTGTTCCCAGCCCCAGAGCAAAAAAAAAAAAAAGCTGTAAGTGACAGGCTATATTCTCATATTCACAGTATCTGCTTAAGGAAAGTTTGAGGACTAATTCCAGGCAAGAAATACAAGATGGAAAACTCCATCCCCATGCGACTGTCAGACAGAGGATGCTCTGTTTCACAGAGGGGGGAAATGTCCTCGTCCTAGTGAACTAAGAAAAAGGAGATTCAAAGGTTTACACTTCAACGGCGGGGCTGAAGGAGCATCAGCAAGGTGATCTGAACGATCTCCAGTGCCTCTGCACAACAAATGGCGAGGCATAATTTAGTCAGGTTTATGGTTTTATAGTGTCTTCCAAAACCAAGAGGATTTTCACAGCCATGGGGCAACTGAATCTGAATGCCCTCAGGAACAGCGCGTAACTCGGGAGCCACCTCTTTTTTCTTTCCCAAGGTCATGCATTAGAGAAGCCTGTCACTGCAACGGGAAGCATTGCAGGGGAAAGCTAGAGCATCCTTACACAATGCAGCTTCTTGTTAGCGACCCTCGTTTAATCTCTACAAGGTATCTCTTTCTCAAAGTACAAAGGGGAGCAGGTGATGGGCAGGGATGTTTGAGCCAACACCATGCTCGCCAAAGCAGCACATAAAGCAAGCGAGTAAGAGTCAGAGCTCCTTTTAAACTAAGTTTTGATCTGCTCCACGAATCCTTTTGGAGAACCCTCCCCATCGATAAGCATCAAAGTTTGGGGGTTTCTGCCTTCAAATAATCCTACCAAGGGGAAAGACGGGTGAGGAGCTTTAGGACAGAAGGGAAGATCATACTTTTGCCTGTGATCATTTCAGCAGTGCTACCCAAGAAAACTCTCACTGGTACAGGATGACCTGGACTCGGTCCTTTCCATAGCATGGGACAAGAGGATCCGCTCTCCTTGTGCTTCTCTCTTTTGAGGGGATCTCAGCTAAACTACAGGTTAGGCCAGCTGGAGGGTGAATGTCTACCAGTTTGATGAAGGTTCCAGGTCTGTAAAGGAGGAAAAAGCTCAAACATCCAACTCAGAGTTCCCCCTCCAAGAAAGAGCCTTTCCTCAAAAGCAGGCAGAAAACTTGGAGGGGTAAGAGCGGGAGAAGAAGGAAGAAAATAAAAGTATTTGCAACCTTTCACCTGAAAAGCCGAAAGAGGAGACAAGGGCTCCCTGCTGTGCCCAGAGGTGGGGATTCACGACGAGGTGCAGGGGACGCGTGAAAGGAATTGGCCGTGTGGGCTGCATGCTGCCGTTCCCCACTCATCCCTTTAACCAAGCTGCAGCAGCAAATGTTGTAGGGAAGGGGAAAAGGAGCAGACAAGGTGTCTGGGGGCAGGGACAGGAGAATGACATGTCCATCTGAAGGACAATTTGGCAGATTGCCTCCATGGGCTCTCCCCCCCAGGATAGGGAATAGGCAGAGAAGGGGGACAGGATGGGGAAAAGGAAGAAGCGGAGTGGGAGGGAAAGAAGCAGCCAGAAACTAATCAAGAAAAGCTGATGTGCTTTGAGGAAGCGACCCCTTAGGAGAGAGCCGCTGGGAAGATCTCTGCCAAGGGGCCGGGGAGCGGGGCCACAGGGGTTTACAGGACATGCCCGGGACAAACCAGCAAGGCATCCTCTTCAGGAGGAGGATGAGCTGTGCTCTTGAGCGTATGCCCTGGGAAAGGCAGTGAAACCCAGCAGTGCTGAGGGTGCTGGAGGCGTTGGGTTCCCGAGATTGAGAGTTGCTAGCTGTGCTGACGCTGTTTCAGAGGGTCACAGCCCCTCAAATCCTACGTGTGGTTAAACACTCCTATACCAACTAACAGCCTGTTTGCTCCCTCCCTCACCCAGAAGCATGCCCGCGTTGTATGCGCCCCCCCTCCGGCTCTCCTCTAGAGACATAAACTTCATGTTATCTATGAAAGAGTATTTAAAGCCAAAACACACACACACACACACACACACAAAAAACCACATAGTTAAACACACATACACAAACACATTTTCTTGTCTGCCAAGTATCAGCTACAGTGCAATTCTTAAAGAGGAGGTGTCAGACCTTATACAAATGGACATCTATAGAAATATATATATATATAAAATTAAAAAAAAAAAAAAATGCTCTCGACAGTTCCTTAACATCGGTGGCAGCATGCGTCACTGTAAATGCTAAAGCCGGCTGGTTTCCCTAGTAGTCTCTGCATACCTTGTTCATTGTCACTTGTTTTGAGGGACTCTTCAGACCAACTTCTATTGCTTTTGGCCTCTGACCTTTTCTTGGTGTGCCTTTCTTCTGTGAAGTCTTTGACCTTTGCAGTGGCCTCTGGCTGAACAGCCTCAGCTAAATCTTTCCTGCTTTGCCGGCCCAACTTGCCGGACGGGGATCTCTCTGGTGACACCTGCTGCTCCCATAGTTCCCTAAGATGCTGCAGGTGACGCTGCTTTTTGGGATGGAGCCCTGTTAATTCAATGCACACCTTCAGGTTGGTCACCTCATTACAATTGGGCTCTTCTAAGTGGTTAGAGGAATTGTTTGTCATTTCCCTCTCAGGCCAGTCATCTAATGGAAAAATAACTAAAAATTAATCAAAAAGCCCCCTCAACTTAAAACAAAAGCTACATTTCACTTTCGGGGCATATAGTCTCAGCTTTACCACCACACTATGCATTTTAAAGGTTCGCTCATTAAGGGTTACATGCACTACAGTAACTTGCACTGCTGTGGCTACAGTGTCCAATGACTAGTGCTTTACCCTTTTATACCAAGTTTTTTATATATACATATATATATATACACATATATATACATACATATATATACATATATATAATTTTAAGTGAAATGACAGTGCTCACATTAGCAACTATCAAGTTCAAAAATGGAAACACATTAAGCCAAAGGGACGTTCCTTTCACAAGACATTCCTTGAGAGAGACCAAAGCAAAATGCTGTCTTACCTTTGGAGTTCTTCTTCTTTTTTGCTTTAGATATAAGTTCGTCCTGCAGTTCATCCACAAAGCTTTCATTTTGGCTGCCATCATTTTGCACTCTCTCACCAGAGTGTTTACGCTTCCTGTCCAGACGTGGACATGGATGTTGGCCAATATCTTCTGTTGGCTGGTCTTCCGCTTTTTCATATATAGAATGTCTCTCTAAATAACATTTCTCATTTGAGAGATCTTTTTCCTCTGGAGTTTCAAGAAAGTGACCTTGGTTGTTTTCTGTACTAGTAAAGTTACCTAAAAATAAAAAAAAAAAAAAACAAACACCACAAGACCTAATAAATACAAAACAATCCATTGTGAGAAACCTACGCTCTCTGATCTCTTCAATGACTTATCTCCATCATGACTTATGGCTCACGAGGAATGCAAATAAACACAAAATTGTACTTTGGAACAAGTCTCCTCTGGTAAGCCTAAGGCAGCAGTTTTCTCACAGTTAAGTACAAAACCCCCAAAAGCACACACTTTATGTTGCTTTTTACGTTAATTTAAGTACAATATTCACAATACTTGTATCCATAGAAACATCACAATACATTTTTTTTAAATAAAGAAACATCTTTAGATACCGAAAGCACAGACCCTTTTCAGAATGCAACCTCACCCTCCAAAACTGCAGTAAGTAATAATCCAAGCTCCACTTTGCAATGCCTTTGTTTTCAAAAATACCTCCTGATGACAATAAAGTATTAGTCTTTTGCTAATTTCTAATCCTTCCCTAACTTCTCACATCAAATTGCAGAGTCTGACTTAAAAGCATTCATCCCTTCTTCTGGAGATATAAATGGGATACGGAGCACGCACACACGGACACGGGAATACCACTAAGAATAGCTGTGATATTTTGCAAAAAGCACTACTTGAATCCAAGGTTATAAAAAGGCTTCCTCACTTCAAGAAACCAGCCAGTCACTGCAGATCACGTGATCTTTGTCACCTCCTTTTAAAAAAGACCTCTCTTTTTTCCAGGAAATATTTCCAGCAGCAGCAAGCGGATGAGCTCTGAAAAGCTTACTAAAACTAGTCTGACAAATTAGCCACAAAAACACCCACAGTGCCATGCCTGCCCTAACTTCAGCTTCCCCGCTTCAATACTGTTCCCCCAAATTTAGAGACAGCTTAAGCAATTCTAAATGGATGCTTGACCTAAAATTACACTTAATCATCATCTGGAATGGGAATTGTTCCTTGGGTTTAACCAAACTAGCCGTGGCACGGTTAAGCAGACACGCGGTACAGACTGCAAAACAGTTAATCAGCTTCCTATTTACAATTCTCACAAACAAGTTGGTTTTCCCACGCGTTTCAGCCCTCCTGGCTGACCAAAATTCTTTCTGCACATCTGCCACTGTTTGGCAAACTGTCTGTACGCTCTGTCCTACATCCCCATAGCTCAATGTCCCTTTTCCTCTTCCTTCCTCTTGCCCTCCCTCCTTCTCCCACTTCCCTTCTTGAAACACATCTGCTGGTTTCATACCTGGACTCCTGACAGCTCCGTTTCCCTTCCCTCCCCCTGATCCTCCCTGTCCTTACTCAGCCTCCTCCCCCGTACAGCCTGGCCTTCAACTTCTGCTCTTCCCCCTCGCCAGGGCAGACGTTGCTTCCCTGCAGCCCCCTGTCCCCTCTAAGACCCACCACACCAGCATCCAGGCACTGGCAGCCCCTGGATGCAGCCCAACTCTACCTCACCTTATCTTGAGAGAACCTTCCTACAGTTCTGCCAACACCTCCAGGTTTCACGACCATGCTTGAAATACCTGTTGTCAGCAATAGAAGGCTGAGGGGGAGGAAAAAAAAAAAAAAACTTATCTGACAAGATTTTTATTCACCACAACTCGGAAATGGCTCCAAGTAGCACCTAGGGTTCTGGAGATGTTTGTGGGCATCTGAAGACAGCCCAGCAGAATTTTTATGCTGCTTGGGAAGCTGCCTGCAGGGCTGATTTATAAAACAGCAGAAGATCTTTGGCCAAGAAAAAATCAAAACAAAAGTTGACTTTTTCCAGGCGAGTGGGACGCTTGGGCCATCCTGCTATTTGGCAATCCTCCTCTCCGCAAGGCCGTCTGGCCAACACCTGCTCCCTTCAAGACTTTAAAACGCAGTTTGTCACACTTCTTCCAGCCAGCGATGCTGACATGTTCCAGAAAACAGGTATCTCAGCTTTCTATGACTGTGCCTCTGAATGACCAGTGTCCCCCGCCCCTAACCTGAATGAATCTGGCAACACCCCGTGCTTGCACATCTGGCATGAAGATGCTGCCCGGCAGCTGCACCCTATAACCACACCTGCAGCACCGGCAGTCCTGTTTCACACAGCGCAAAAGAAGCCGGACCAGGCACGTCTTAAGTATCACTTCAGAAATGCTTCTATCGGATTTCATTTTACATTTTTAATGCAATCTGCTATTTTTCCCCCCTTTCATAAGGAAACATTATACTTATATGCTCAGTTTCCCCGAACAGATCAGGTGAAGGCACTCTCCGCCACGCTCCCGCTGTTTGTAGCCTTCGTGTCTCCAGCAGCACCAGCAGCTACACGCCACGGTTCGCACTGAGAGCCGCTAGATCGGGACAGCTTTTCTGCTCCTGACACTGTCTGGCCTGAGAAAAGGCAGGTACATCCTGACCAACTCTCAGAGAAGCTTTCACAGGGTCAGAGGAAGTAGCAGGCTGTAGGGGGGAACTGATGGTTTTAATCTTTGGGGCTTGCAGGAAACAGCAAGCTCATTCCAGCCTGCCACCACCGAGAGCGACTTGCTGCAGATTAATTCCTTCTCTAGCTGCAAGAGGACTCAGCACAGGGATGCCAAGCGCTGCTCGCTTGGATGGTCCGTGCTAAAAAAACAAAATGCAGGGGGAGAAACACTTGCTGTAACCCCGCTAACAGCTCATCACTGTTTGCATTTCTCCAGGACTCCACATGCCAAGGAGAACAGCACACATCTATTGAAGTTTATCCATAAAGCCCTCGCTGCCAGAGGCTCTGCAACACCTTTGACTCCACTCTCCGGTCACGTTCGAGAGGGACCCCTCAGGCGACCAGAGCTACGTCTCCTCGGCCGCCGAGCCAGAAATCCCTCCAAGGACTGCCCACTGCACACACGTCTCTGAAATCCGTCCCGCTAGATGCAGCTAAAACCATTAGCGAAGCGACATCTCCGCACGTTAATCCAGGTTGTGTAATCATCCTGCATCGAGAGGGGAGGACAGCGGACGGCGGAGCCGGGGAGCAGCGTGAGACACGTCCTTGCCTATCTGCTCCGCCGCCGATGCTCCCCGCCTCTTCTACAGCCGGATTTTCACCACGAAAGAACAAAGGTCAGTCGCTGTTCAGGACATGGCATAACCCACAGTCTGTCAGGCTCTCTACACAGCTTGCACAGACACGTCACACGCCCAGAGGGTTTTTTTCCCCTTGGCACACTGGCGACCGCCTCGCAGAGCGCAGGCTCTATTAATATTTTACCACCAGATTCCACTCTGTCCTCAAACTGTTTTGCAAGCAACCCAGATCAGACGCGATGTCTCCCCAAATTAAGATATAAATGTCAACATGAGGCACAGCAACATAAGCATATCGTGCATGCCCCACAAGGACAAGGGGAATTTATTTGCTTTTGATCACCTCCATCATGTATCTACAACATCCTTTTCGCCACCAGAGGAAGAAGAAAACAAAATACTTGGGAGTTTTCATATCATCATTATTCAAACAGTGACGAGATAGCCAGAAACACAGGATAAATGCTGAGTTCTCATAGCAACACACCTCTATGAGTAAGGAGATTAAACTCCTAAACGTGTTCCTTCCTCGAGCCTCTAGCATTTGCCAATCTCACACCAGCTGTGAGAACCAGCACCAGCAACTCGGACCATTTCTCACTGTCTTACCCAACTAGAAACAAGGAAGAATTAAGAAGATGTTTCTTCCCATATGGTTTCTGCCCGAAGCAATATCTCCTTAGTGCACGGGTTACAATCTCACCAGCAGCAGTTACACACACACACAAACACGCTACCCAAAAAAACTTTCCTTCATTTTTCCATCTTCCTGTTGCTGTCAGCTACTTGAGACAGGGCCCTCCCATGCAATGCAAACAAGGAAACACATCTTAGTGTTTAAGCTGCAATTCTTTTGTTCAAATAACATGGCAGCTAAAAACAGCCTTTCCTCTTCCCTGGAGCAACCTCTCATTGCGCTCACTTATGCAAGGCACCCTTTACTCATCCACGGTCGGTAATGACTATCCAAATGCTAAAACCCAGTATTCAGCATGGAGATTACAACAACAGCAAGAAATTCCGTAAGTCACCTTCAGCGTCCAGTTCCGAGTATCCCATGGGGCAGAGGGAACCCAGCTGATTTCATTCTTCCCTCCAAGTACCTCTGCTCGGGGGTTTTCAGCATTTGTTTCCTTCTGCCCAAGCCTACCCCACTGCATAAACAAGCAACAACCATTCTCCCTGAACAGACTTTTGTTTTCTTCCTCTCCCCCACCTCTTTTTTTTGTTTTTGACTATGTCCTGTGGCAGGAAGGTAATAACTGACCAGGGCAAAGGATATGTTTATTGTCTCCATCCTTCATTTGTTCAGGTATACACACAGCCCAGCCAGAAAAGAAAAGCAGGCGATTACCACGTGAAGGGACACTGGCACCTTACTCCGACGCTGAAGATCAGCTCTGAAGGCTTTGGCACAATACACCACTCACTTTCACACATTGAAACTGCTTTAACTTTTTCCCCATGACCTCATGCCTTAAGATCAGGCTTTTAACATACTGGGTTTTATTTTTCCCAGCTAAGGCTTAAACGGGCAGTGTCTTCCTCCTAGAAAATTGGATAAACTGGTAAAATCACACTGCCCGATCAAGAAATTCACAGCTTGTAGAATTTATTCAATCTTTCACACTCGGGCATGATTTTCAATACCGCCAGAAGAGCTTTGTTATGAACCGACATGCGATCATCACATGCCCGTATTGATGCGCGTGTCCGTGCCAATAGCTTAAATCACTTGATCTCTGAACAATCCTATGACTCATGACATATGCATCCCATAATTTATCATGTTTGTGCTATGGAAATGCACCAGAGCAGCATCGCCTCAGCAACATTTACAAGTCACCTTGGCAACAAAGCAGCTTCGCGGCTGCTCTCAGAATGCCCGGCAAAACCTAAACGAGATGGGAGAGAATTAAAGCACTTCTACTTTACTCCTTGGCTATAATTGCTCATTAATTAGCTAACATGGCTACCTCCGTTAAATCAGGCCTTTTTTAATTTAAAAAAAATAAAAAAATAAAAATCACCTTTTTTACCCTTCTCCAGAAGGCACGGTGACACTTAAGAAGACTCAGTATGTCAAAGCCATCCACCGCCAAGTCAGAGGAAAAGTTTAAGGCATCAGATATTCTGCCTTCGTTTGCTTCCAAAAAAGTCTGTACACATGCTATACAGCTAGGAAAATGAACAAGTCCCAGAGCAAGCTAAAAAAAGGAGTTCCCATCCCATCAGATGCCTCTGTAAGCATCACCTGCCTGTGTTATTTAGCATTTTGTTGCTGTTGCTGTCATCGCGCTGGTAGATTTAGAGGAGCCGAGGGGGCGAGCAGCTGTGAGGGCCCCGACCGGCTCCTGTGCCCCACGCCAGGCACGGCTGCGGCAGGAGGAGCCCTGCACGCCGGCTCCGTGCCACAGTCGCCGTTTCGGTTGCGGTTTTCCTGTTGCCCGCTGACACCAGGTAGGTGAAGTGCTCGCGGCGGGGGTCGCGCCTAACAGCTTGCCGGTTTTGCTCCTAAATTCCCCGCTCGCGCCCGTGAAGGCACGCCGGCCGAACCAAGGCAACGTGAAATGAGGTGAAACGTCTTTTCAGCGGCAAGATGGCTTGCAGGAGGCAGAAAGGGAAACGGAAGAGGTTGCAAACCACCAGCTAGTTCCCGCTGGAGAGCTTTAAAGCCAAACGCACCGACAGCGTGGTTAGAAACTGGAGGGAAAAGGCAGGCAAGAGGTGAGCATCCCTGGCTCTGGCTGGTGATAAACAGAGGGAAAGAGAAGGCAGAGCACCTTGTCCCTTTGCCAGTCGCTCAGCAAGAGATGCACCAAGACCGCTGGCAGCTCAAGGCCCACCAGAGCCCAAGCCACTACACTGGAGGCATTCAAGAAGTGTGAATCTCGGCTTCCTGATTTATCAGCTGCTATCCCAAGGGGCAGGAGGTGAACCACCACGATAAAAAACTTTTACCGAGACCTGAATCTGTACCGGTAAGTATTTGCTGCTGTACAGGCGGGCATACAGAAAAGGAGCTCCCTCGGCAGAACAGATCTGCGCTTTTAGGAGTTTAGACATTTGGCCAAATTCTGAAATAGCCTGTTAAGTCAGAGCTAATTAGTAGAGGAGAAGAACGAACTAACATAAGACTGAACATACTTTCCCAGCTTCCAACAGTTATTTAATAGTCTCAAACAAGTTTTAGCCAGCAGTTTCAAGTGCCAGAGACCTCACTAAATGATGAGTTTAAGGACACACCGTATCATCAGCTTTTTGCAAGGAGGGGGAGGTGGGTGGGTGCGTCTCAGCAAACAATGATCCTCTAAGGCTCTTTCTTCCTCCCTACAGCCCCCCATATCCCCCCCCAGCAGCATGCCCCACATCCCTGAGCAGGGTCGGTCTGTCTGTCTGTCTGTTTTCCCTGTATCCACCCCTGACCCCGCAGACCACCCTGCCCTGCAGCCAGAACAAGCTGGCAGGACCCTGCTGCTGCTCTTTACCCTTTCCAGCACACCCAAGGCGGGATTTAACAGAGAACATCACCAGGGCACCCCGAGCCCTCTGAGGAGCAAGGGGGGCTGCAAGGGGGATTGCCGGGGCGGCAGCCTGCCGAGCTCTCGGCTTTAGCACAGGCAGCAGCACCTTCCTCCCCCAGGCTGCCTCGATACAGCCTGGAGAAGGGAAAGCCCACACAGCTTCCAGGGGCTCAGCCTGCGGCTCCCCACCCTGGTATCTTCTCCTCTTCCACAATTAAAACTTCCCCTTGCTATTCTGCCAGGCCGATTTTTGTTGAGGCTGTTATTTCAGTGACAGCAACACCACAATAACTTGATTTAGGTGAGTAACCGAGCAAGTACGATTGACCAGCATGCTCTCTGCCAAAAGCATTAACCAAAGAGCAGAACAATAACTCAAAGTTACTAAATTGCCTGAACGAAATTTTCTACTAGCCCTACTCATGAATCTCTACCTACGGAAGAGCACACTTAACCACCGAGTTACACAAACACACACAGCCACACATCCACACACAGCCACACATCCACACACAGCCACAGAGACACACACAGTGCAGCCTACACACACACAGACAGACACACAGACACACACACAGTGCAGCCTACACACACACACAGACAGACACACAGACACAGACACACACACACACAGAGTGCAGCCTGCAGTGTGTTTCCTCTGTTTGCAATGCTTTCAGCATAGATTTTTTTTTTTTCCTGGGTTGTTCGAAACAAAGTAGCAGCAGGAGGAACCGATCCATTCCTTAATTATACAGGTAAAAGAAAAAAGATTGGGAAATTGAGGGAAGGCACATGCTTACCAAGAGTTCAAAAAAAAAACCAAAACAGGTGATTTTTTCCTTGCGTACAGTAAACAGCCCCTAATACCATTTATTTCTTTATTTTTAAGTTTAGCTTACTTTTAGGACAATGCTGCTAGCACACATTTTCCCCAGTCCTCAGACACCTTGACACAGCCTAGAGGGAGCAGCCAGCCCCATGGGGAATTTCACAGCCCCCCTGCCTGCCCACAAGAACCTGTCCCGACCAGCCACATGCACACCCCCCAGCCACTGCAGCAAGAATCCTCCCAGGCAAACTAGCTTCCCATCGTTTGGAGTTTTACAGCCAGCTTTTATGGATAAGCCAGCATGGCAGAGCACGTCCTTTCCCGCTCCCCGTCATCCTTCTGTCTGCCATCCTTGCTCTGCCTGAAAGCTGCAATACTGGCATCTCCCAGCGCCGCCGCAACTTCAGGAAGCTGAACCCCTTCTTGCTTATCTCTCTTCCCCCACCTCCTTTCTGCATTTAGAATGTAACCTTGAGCCTTTGCTTTCACTGGTTGACATGGTATCCCATCAATTAAAAGGACAATCTCTTCAAGACAGTAACTTCGGTGACAGTTAACTACCACCTGAAACACAGGCACAACTGTAACCAGTAACTTGCAGACCCCAAAACAACCACAGAGAGTACCTGCAGAGGCTGAGGTCAGTGACTTTAACCAGCAACACCGCGAGAACACAAAGATTACGCAGCCTGCGCAGCTTTGCTGCAAGCTGCCACGGCACAGAGACACGTACGCGCTTCAGAAAGCCATCTAAATTCGCTTACATCTGTCATTGTCATTTTGGTCAGCAATGGCATCGTCCAGAGCGACAGACTTTGGCTTCTTTTCACTGTTTCCTTTCAAGTTTTCCCAGTCTGCCTGGCTGAATCTGCAGACCTCTGAGTCTTTGGTAGCTGTTTGGCCTTCTCTCTCTTTCATCTCCAACTCTGAGAAGCGCATCATTGCACGCTAGAAAGAGAATTGATATGAAAAAAAAAGTCTTGCGATAAAAGCTACTTCATTTACCTTACCTTATATGAAAGCATTTCCAAAGAAAAATCGGCTCAGAACCAAGGTTTCAGATAGATAGCTAGGGTAGGAGTTTAACACACCTGACTTGTGAAACAGTATTCTAGCATCTATACGTAAATAGCCACACAATTCTTTCATATATAAGCATATATATATATATATATATAAAAGATATATATAAATGTATACTGTATATAAAACAAAAACATTCCATTTTGGAGGTAAAAAGAGACAAAAACAAAAAGAAAAAAAAAAAAACACAACACAAAATCGTACAATGAATAAAGACGACCATGGCCCACAAACTTCCCTTTGTGTATTTGGAAATGAAATTTAACTCAAAGGTTTATGTAAGAGTCTAGTAATAAAAATTTGAAGAACTGACCTCACAGTAAGCAGCAGGTAGACATAAAATACTGTCCTCTTGTAATCCTTCCATCTATGTAATTAAAATGGGCACTCAATGGATCATTTAGATAATTTCATCCATTTTTATAAGCATAAACCAATTCTTTTCTTAACAATGCAAAACAATTTGGCTTAACTCATCCCTTCATTAAAAGTAAAATACCTTAAGGATATTCCTATACAGTATCTGTCTGTCATCCCTCAGCATCAACCTCAGTACCGCTCCTACTCTTTCCTACGCGTTCGCTTGGCGCAAACGTTGCCTGAGACCCGCTAATACATGGCTGCGACTCCTCTCCATCAAACGGCACGTTTGGCATACTAATCACAACTTCTGGGTACGCTTTGCTAGCTGGCACTACAGGCCAGCTGAGAAATTACAGCCATCGCTAGCGCCAAGGTAACATGCATGCCTGTCCGACTCCCCTCCGTAACTGCACGAACATTTCATACGCATATTAACATTTTTATCAGACCTTAGCAAAAGCCCTTTAAAGCTTACTAGCACGTACATACGTAAAAGCCATACATACTATTCTTTACATCGCCTCGCTCTCATTAACAGACTTACTTTGCTATTTAAAAACCGTTACTGGCGAGTACGCCCTAACCAAAAAATTTCTGATTTCCCCACCTGCGTTGCTTCTCTCAACTTTAAAACTTGACTGTGACTTGCAACAGAGAAATAACGACAAAAAGCGCGGCGGTCATTGGACCGCGCGGACTCACCTGCAACGCCCGCTGCTCCCGGCTGAGCTGGCTGGAGTCTGCGTACAGTTCGGTCGTCACGCACTTGAATCGATCACCTACGTAACCGGCCGAGTTCGCGATCCTCTTGGCTAACTTAGACGGCTTGGGTTTCAATATTTTGCCATCGGCAGATTCCGCGTCGTCGGCTCCGTCTTTGGCATAGGCCTGGCTGGCGTCGATGCTCGGTGGCGCGGTCCCCATGCAGAATGGTTTCGCGTCCTCCTGCACCTTGCCAAAAGCCAGAGCCGGAGCGTCGCTCTCGTGAGCACTTTCCAAGAAAGCGGGCGAAGGCTGGACCGTCACTCTCTCTTTGGGCTGGCTCACAGATAACTCTTCTTTCCTTAAGCCGAAAACCGATGAACTCTGGGCTTGCTTGAAATTATAGGTTTCATGAAGATCATTATTTCTTCCAAACTCCTCTCTCATTACAATAAAATCTCTGTGCTGCGACGCCTGCTCTACCTTGTGCTTTGTAGGGTCATTAGCCTGATTACTGTTTTCCGTAGCAAAGCTGGCTTTCGTTACGTTTGCTTCGCTTTTAGCCTCTTGCTCGTCTCGCAGAAGATCCGGGAAGAGGTGTTTGTCGCTTTTGGCCGAGTTTTTCCCATGGCCAGAGCTCTGGTGCAGTTTCACGCTCTTGTCGCCGGGTACTTCGAAATGCATCTTCCCGCTGCTCTCCAGGAGCTCTGGCAACCGGCCCCGCAGCGCCGGGTCCTCGTAGCGGACCCTCTCGTGAGACCGCGACCTCCTCTCCACCTTCTCCTCCTTATTGATCTCCAAAGCCGAATGCTGCAGCAGCATGGGGTGCACCATCCCCATCCCCAGCGCGTCCTGGTAGGTCATGAACTCCCCCCGCCCCGCCGGCAGGCTGTAGGGGAGGCCCGGTTTGGGGGCCAGGTGGCCAGGGTAGAGGCTGCCGTTGGGCAGCAAGACGGGGTGCGGGTACACATGTCCTTTCCCGTGGATGGAGAGGGGGCTGATCGCTATCCCCTCCGGCACCGGGTACGGGAGGTAACTCCTGGGGTAGGGCAGAGGCGGGGAGCGAAATGCCTCATTGGGCGGCAGGAAGATGGGGCTGGAAGCCAAGGCGGTCTCGGTCGCCTTGAAGTTGGCTTCCTGGCCGCAGGACTTGGCCACCTTATTGCTGTGTTTTGCAGCGGTGGCGACGGGCTGCCCGACGTGTTGTATGACCGAGGGGGTGCTCTCCGCGGAGCTCCTGGCTGTCTTGGCGCAATCCACATTGGCGTTGGGAGCCGGCGACGCCGACGCCGGCCGCCCCCCCGCCGACACCGTCCCCGAAACGCTGCCGACGACCGCCTCCGTGCCGCCCATCCTGGGGCAGGAGGAGCTCCGCTGCTGCGGGATCACCCAGTCCAGCGCCTTGTTTTTCAGCTGGATGCTCTTCCCGCCCTCCTCGCCGGGGCTGGGACCGGGAACGATCCAGGAGGATGGCGCCGTGCTGATAATTTCAGGCCTGTAGATGGGGCAGCCGTTCCCAGGAGAAATGGTTTCTTTCTGAACGATGTCGCTGCCAGGCAAGTGCGTTCCCCCTCCCGCCCTGCCATGCACCAGCACCGTCGGCATCATTTTCTTACCGTGGTCCGACTTGCCGGCCGTCTCTGCGTCGACGACTTTCGCCGACAAGTCCAGCGGTTTGTCCGTGACATCTTTGGTCGGGGTCTGCTTTTCCAGGAGCGGGGGGGACCTGCTGTCTTTCCGGTCGTGGCCAGCTTTCCGCGCGTGGGGGGCGGCCGGTGGTGGTGCCTCCCCAGCATCGCTGCCTTTGGGAAGCTTCCCATTGGAGAGGCGGGAGGGTGGAAACTCGCCGCCGACGTTCACGTAGGGCTTCGGAAGGGTAACGGCGGAGGAGGGAGAGGTGGTAATCCTGGGGAAGTGTTTGTGGAAATCAGCGTAGGCGTCCCCAACCTGGGCGGGCAGGGGGAGGCGGGGGGACGGCCGGGGCGAGTGCGGCAGGAGGAGCGCGGGGTCCGCCGGCATGTTGGCGGGGGCCGGCTTGGCAGCGGGGACCCGGGGCTGCTTGCTGCTCTGGATGTGGGGGTAGGCGTGCGCGTCGACGGGGTTGCCGGGGTTGACGCCCATCTTCCACGACAAGCTCTTGTCCGGACAGTGCACCAAAGGTGGGATCGCCGGTGAAGCCGAAGCAGTCGAGAGCCTCATGGGCGACGCCAGCGACGAAGGGATGTGGGGGGCAACGTAGTGGGAGGGAGGCAGGTATAAAAAACGTTCACCATTCGTACATACGGGCGAGTAAGCCAGGTGCTGTGGTAAGCTGTAGGTGGACTGCTGAGGTAGCAATGCCTTGTACATGTTCAACGAATACTTATTTGGTGAGTCAAGGAAAGGGTATATGGTGGGCGTTGCGCCCTCCATATAGGGATTTACCCAGGGGAGCCTTAGGTAACTAGCACCATTGACACCGAGGGGACTCTGCTTGTCACCCGCAGCTCGGTCCAAACCCAGCGTCTCCCCCGTCGGGACAGAGTTTTTTTGTATTCCAGGTGGCGTTTTGTATAGAGCGCTGAAGCCGTTCGGGGCTTTTCCAGACACAGCTGCGTTTTCTACCGCTTCAGGGGGATTAGACTTAAACTGTATCTCTGGATTTCTTTCAGGAGTAAATCCAAGCCCGGCTATCGAACTCGTAGCATCCCGTGATTTTTCCGAGCCGAGTCCGCACAAGCTGGAATAGACAATACTACTGGGGACTCTGAGTCCTTCTCGCATGAGTCCAGACCTGTCCATACTCAGAGCTGCGAGACTGTCAATGCGATGGGCTGTAGTCGCATCCACCTTTACAGAACAAGAAATACGTTACTTTCACATTTCACTAACGTGACTGTCGCTCAAGCTACAGATACATCAGCATTTTGGAAGGGAAACACTACCGATGCGAACACACTGTTCGTTGTGAAAACATACAGAGGCTGACCGTGCTGGAAAATGGGAGAACAGGAACCTAACGAAGCAATATATATCACTGCAAATGTCAATACAAATCTCTCCACATCCAAAATTCATCGGCTGGAAACAAAGGCGTGGGGACCCGTAGCCCAAGCAGCCCGAAGTGGCCCAGGGATGATGCTCGGTGGCACCACTCCTGTGCAGCAACCAGCTCCTCAGCCCCCGCCCTGCCAGAGCATAAGAGCGGGAAGAGAATAGTGGAGAGCCTCTCCTCCTCCTCCCCCAGCACCTCTCCCTCCACCACAGCTCTGCTCCGGGGCTCACCATCACCCCACAACTCGTGGGGCCAGGCGTCCGAGGACGCAGCACGAAGAAAGGTCCGCCGTCAAATTTGTTCCCCACGTCCGCTCAAAGAAGGGGAGACACACCAACTTTGCTGAAACGTTGATGTACTTAATGCTTACGTGAACTATTTTTGTTGCACTTGCCGGTATGCTGCGTGACATTACTTGTAACAGCGCTAAAGTCAGAACATGACGTCATACAACAACACACACCACAAAGTCAGCGTCAATAGATTAACGAGATAAACAAACAAAGCCCCATTTCTCTGCTTCACAGAAGCAAGTTGCATGTGCCCAAGCCTGGCTAGAGCTACAACAGAAAGGTGTTTTAATCATTTCCCCAAATGGATCATGTAATAACACCCAAGGGTAGGAGTCGGGGTGGGGAGGACAGGCACGGACTCAGCTGCAGCATGAAGCTATTAACTTCTTACCACACTGTGGTTCAGGTGATTTTCTTCCCTCAACTCCAGTCTGCTTTTCGGTGCATCGCCATCGTTAACGGGAATTTTCCTATTAAAAAACAGAAGCTTTCTATTTGAAAACATCCTGCGCACCTCTGATCAGTACAAGATTATATCACCTCCGTATTTTGATTCCCCTAGGAAAGTCCCATACACCGTATTTATCCTTCTGCGTACCGATGCACAGCAACTCCTTTAGAAAACCAGGACCGTTTGAAAATAAGCATAAAGGGTTTTGACACCAAGAATACACCAAGCACATCTCAGAACAGTCTCTTCCAACACAAGTGATTTTTGTCAAGGTCTTCTCTTTTGCCCCTTGCCTTTTTCTTTTTCCAAGGAGAGAATGTCCCGTTTTAAACATACCCTGTTCCAGTACCATCCATTAACGCTGCCGAGGATAAAATCAAAACACACACGCTAATATCATACGAACATCAGCTGTTCCATGCTAAAGAGAGAGCTGCACATCTGTGCCATACCAGTGTTGCAGCACTGGGACTTGTTATCACAGAAAGCACCGATAAAGAATATACCTTAGTGCTAAATTTCAAATCCCAGGGATAAAAATCACTGACATGCAGCAGAAGGAAAGTTTCAGCATTACCCAAAAGAACTCCTTTCAATCAGTGTGCTTAAAGGCACATCATCACCTTAAAGCAGAAATGCAATTTTAATATATTTGTTTTTAAAAGATTCACCTTGCCTGCAAGTCGCACGTAAAATTATTATCTCTAAATAACTGGGAGGAAAGTGGGGAGGGAGAGTGCGAAAGCAAGGTGAGACATTTAGCCATTTTCCTTCAGCTTATGTTTGCAAATACTACTACCTGCAAAGAGCAAAAAACTTTCCCCAGCTTCTCGGAGGCTTTTCACACAACAGTGAGAACATGGGCTCACAGAGAAGACAGAAAAAACAGTAAAACCACACAAAATTGGCACAGAGAACCGCAGGTGTACCTGTAGCTTCTGTTCAGCATCGTTTCACTTTTTAAAACGCTGGGGTTTAAGGGAAGAGGACACTGGCCAGTGCCTGCATCACCCCATTGAAAATCATTAAAGACTGCAATTTTAATCACCAAATGAGCGATACTCAGCAAGAAAAAAAGGTGTGGAGGAAGAGAAATTCACTTGTGGGAGACAGAAAGGTCGCTGTTCCTATTTCACGGGACAAGCTGTCGGTCCGAAGGCAGGGAACGCCAAGTTGCCGGCAGGAGCCCCTCTGCCGTAGAGAGTCACCACAAAAACATGTGCACTATTTGGTTTAATTCCCCTTCACAAAATATGAAATAATAAATTAATTGTAAAAGTGCGTTTAAAGGCTGCTTTGGGGAGTAATCTCTTTAAAGGGCATCCCCGCTTCACTGACCCAGGTTGCCCGTTAACTAGTAAATCAGCAGCTGCTCTACCGCTCTCAGGCACGTCTCGTTTCTCCCCCCGTGCCCTCCCTCCAAGCTGGGCTGATCTCAATGCAAGGCAACAGCTATCTGCTCCAGTACTAGGGAAACGAGCAAACTCCGAGACCTCACACTGCAGAATTACAGTGTGGTTTAACTTGCCAGAAGCTTAAATATTTACCTGTCTTCATTAATTCCACACATGCGGACCCTTTCATTGCTCATCCAGCTATGAACGTTGCCATACAGGGGAGTTGCAGAAAGCATGACGTCTTCTTAAAAATCGCCGCTTTTCTTCACGGTTTTATATTCTATTTAAAAAAAAAAAAAAAGGAAGAAAAAGAAAAAAAAAGTTGAGTAGATTTGTCTAGGAGGAAGTGCAAACATCACGGTGGAGCAGCCAGCCTCCCTCCGGGTAATTAATAATGAATGCAGGATTGGTGCGGGGAGTGAGCTGCCTACGTTAACCACTAAGGGAGATACCCTGCAATAAAGGAGCAAATTGAGGGCATTTATAGGTCAGAGGAGATGGATCTTTTCCCCAGCGCACATCCAGAAAATTAAGAATCATTCCCAGCTACCAACAAATAAAAGTTCCTCCGCTGCATTTCATTTCCACAAGAAATGACTCAGCCGGCCAAGTACACACCAATCCCCAAACCTTCATCGCACATAGGCTGAACCAAGGAGGGAGACCCCACGGGCCGGGGGAACGTGCGAAACTACCCAGAGGCACTCCCAAACGCCCTGCATTACGAACGCACAGGAGCAGGAGCGCATCGCAAGAACGGCCACAGACCGTGTGTATTGGCTACGCTGATCGCTGATAAAGCTTTCACGCGAGGGCTTAAAACTGAAGAGACGCGGCAACAGAAGGGATCTAAATAAAAACCTCCCCTTTAGCGTCTGCACATGACTAACTTGGAGAAAGGGGTTAAAAATAGTAAGTGGGTTGGCGAGCTCCCCACCCCTTGATTTGATTAAGCACCGAGCCCTGGTGGCTTCTGCATCCGAGCTGCTGCTGCTGCTGCTGCTGCTGCGAGTGCTTTCAGTAATTCAATGATGCCTGCTCACTCCAGGGAAAGAAATCATTAGCGGGCTCGCTGGAGAAGTATTAGCAGTCCGAGAGGATCGGCGCTGTGTGCAGCCGGAGAGGCAGGTGAAAGGTAACCGCATTTTCGCGACCAGCGGCGGAGAGGGAAAGGCTTTTCCTCCCCTCTACCCTGCCTGACGCCACCTCTGCTCGGCATTAAATTCTAGTTTGCTGCATGAGCAAAGTGTCAGGACAAGCTGCGTTTTATTAACAGGATTATCGCGGAGCATGATTTATTCCAGTGCAAGATTTTAATTGCTCTTCGGAGGTTGAGTCGTTTCTTTTGACTGAGCTTCAGCCTGCATCCTGCTGCTAAATGCTGGGTTAATAAGTAGGGGGAGCCTTTAATGCACAGGATATCCCTCAGCTCTTCCTCTCTCACAAAAATAGAAGCCTTTAAGCGGGAGGCATGATACTCCTTTTACACACACACACACAAGCCAGTAACGGGCGACTGACCACTGGGAGTTTAATGCCTAACGTCTCCCAAAGCATCCATGCTTCCCCAGCAAACTCATTTCCTTTGTCAGGCTACAAAATATGCAAATGATCACTTTGGCATTTAATGGGGAAGAAGCCCAGATTGGGCCTTTAACACAATACTTCACACAGGTTCAGAGAGGTTTAAGAACTGAAACGGCAGGAAAGCCTTGTTCCCCAACACTTTCTTCTCCCCTCAGAGAGGCCTTTTGTGCAAAACTCCACGTCTGGAACAAATGTATATTAATGAAACGGTGTGTTGACCCTCCTCTCTCCAGAACGGTTAGCTTTCCCTAATGAAGTCCGCAAAAAACGCTGCGAGGAAACGAAAATCCACGGAGATTAGATATCGCGCTATCATTCAAAAGGAGTTATTTCACTGGAAAGACGGTTTCTGGACAGATTTACTGGTTTCCAGATGCGCCGCTCGTAATGTTTTCAATAGAGGCAGCAGCAGCATGGAGAGAGTGATTTAGGGTTTTACATAAGGTTAGTAGCCGCCCCGTGCGCTGCCTCATCTATGAGGGACGGACGCCGGCGGGGAGGAGGCAGGCCTCGGCGGCACACGGCCCCGTGCCCCGCTTTCCTTCGGGGGCACGCGAGGCCAACCCACGCCATTCCTTGGAGGGGCAGCCTGCGCCCGCCTGGTTTCCTCGGTGGAAGTGTATCATTAAGATAAGGCGCGGTGCCTGAATTAGAGCCCGTCAATCCCCTGACATGTGCAGATAGTGAAACGCTGAAGTTGCACAGGCGGCCAAGAGCTTCCCCAGCCACGGCCGCTCATCTGGAGGCCCCACGTCCCCACCCGCACGGCCGGAGCAGGGCAAAGCCCCGGCAGGGCGCAGGGAGGCGGTGGGATGTCGCAGGGCCCACCGGGGTGGACCAGGACCCGCGCCCCGAGAGCTGCCAGCCCCTTCCCCAAAGCCACCCCTCAGCGCTCGCCGCCTGTGCGCCGTTGCAATCGCCGCCCCGATGAACTTCTTGTGAACTGTTTAAAAGTGGAGGTCTGCTGAACGAGCAGCGGCGCCACTGCCAACCATAATTTCATTGCAACAAGCAGCAGACTTTTAACTCTTCGCACACCCTTTCCCTTTTCCTCCTTCTCCTCCTCCTCCTCCTCTCTCCCCGCAAGCAACCGCCCTTCGGGGCCGGCGGCTCGGCCAAACGCTGGCAGCTCCGCAAGCCCTCAGCGCTGCAGGGACGGGGCGGGAGAGGGGGCCGGAGGGTGTGGGGGGGGGACACCGCTCCTATTTATACCCAGCTTCGGCGGGGGCGGGCGCAGCCGGCCCCGTTATGCAACCCCGACGGCGGGGCTGAGCGTCCCAGCGCAGGGAGGAAACCGAGGACACGTCTCTCCCTCCATCCTCCTCCTCAACCGTCACCCGCCTGGCCAACGCGCCCCCACCCCCAACCCCCGTTCCGCGCTCCCCTGGGGGCCGCAGCCCCCCCCCACCACCACCACCCGGCCGCCCCCGCTGCGCTGCGCGGCGCGGAGCGGGGCTTGGCCGCCGGAGAGCGCACGGCATTTCCTCCGGGAGGTGTCTGGCCGATAAAGCCATTTGCGGCTAAATATAGACGGTGATGCACGGGGGGGGGCGGGGGGGGGGAGGGAGGGAGGGAGGGAGGGAGGGAGGGAGGGAAGGAGGCGGGGGGGGGGGGGGCGAGGGAGGGGGGAGCGACTCGCAACGCACACGCGGTTCCGCAGCGATGCCGCCGTGCGAAACCAGTTGTGAAAAGCGCCTGCAAGCACTAACCTGCTTCTCCCCGGCGTGCTGCCGAGCGGGGCCGCGCCGCGCCGCGAACACCCCACGCCCCACGCTGCCCGCGCCCCGCCAGCCCCGCGCCGCAGAGGCAGGCAGAGACACACACCGCGCTGTTTGGGCAGCTGATTAAAAAGGGAAACGTTTGGGTCTCCCTCGCAACGTCAACAGACTTTTGGCAGCCATTGACGCCAGCAGCAGCAGCAAAGTTTTGTTAACACGCTCCTGGCGTGGAAACGAGAAAAACCCGATGCCCGCGGGGAGGGGGGAGGGAAGGAGGAGGAAGACGCCGCCGCTTTCTCCGTGCCTCCGGGGGAAAGAGGAGGGGAGGGCAGCGCCCGCCCCGGCCGGGGCAGTCTCCTCTCGCCCCCCTGCCCCGAGGTGCCCGACGGCGAGTGTGCGAGGTGAAAGTCTCGGCGGGGAGGGATAAGGGGGGGGGGGGGGGGGGGGGGGGAATGGATGGATGGATGGATAAATGGATGGGTGGAGAAAGCCCCGGCGGGGCTGGTGGCTGCAGCGAGCCAGGAAGCGGGGCGGGAGGAGAATTGCAGCGGCGCACGAGTTCCCTTTTGGCGCCTTTACTCTTTTCCACCTCCGAGCTCCGCCTGGCAGCCCGCCAGTTTCCACTGCACAAGCCACAGAGCCGGCGGCGGCAGCGCAGCGGCAGCCGGCGGGGAGGGCTGCGAGGGGTGAAAAAAAAAAAAAAAAAAAAAAAAAAAAAAAGGTCTGCGAGCGCCCGTGGCACCGACGGAGCGAGCGGCAGGCGCTTCGGCAAACAACTCGGCCTCTCGGAAATTAAAAGCGATGCAGTAAATTAGCTGGCTCTGATCCCCCGCCCCCCCCCCCCCCCCCCCCCATCACACACACCCCGGTTCCAGGCCACTGAAAGGATCATTTCTAGATTTGCGAAAATCCCTGCGAGAGGAGTGAAAAGCAATCGGGGACTCGTAGCGATCTACTTCGATTAGCCCTCAACCCGTTCATCTGGAGCTTGATTTAAGGGCAGCACTCGTACAGCATTTATAAGCTTAAATACGGGCAGTTGCTTATGAATGTGTTTAGGTACCTCGTTTATCTTGCACCTCCAACTTACATATTTACGAGTTAGAAAAAAACAACGACCTGTGTGCCACGGCTAGAAAGGAGACTTTAAAGACACTGTATTGCTGCACGGTTTACAATGTGTGGTGTAAAGCTCTGGCAGCAGCCAGCAATCTAGTATTAGACAGAGTGTTTAAAGATCAGGGGTGGCTGTGCTTTTTTTTTTAAAAAAAAAAAAAGTAAAAAATACCGTGGGTTATTTTTTGCAATCTCCACACGGCATCACCGCTAGTGACACGTTTTGTAAACCAGAGGAGGAAGCTGCAGACTAAGTAGCCGCCGCACGGATCCGCGGATTAGAGAAGAAGTTTGACCTTTACCCGGGACGTGTGGCATTTCATTTAACCATAAAGCTAAGCACAATGCGCCAGCGAGATCGCTAAACCGATTTAAAATACATATTGAGTCATGCACGCCAGTAGTGCATTTCGATTTAGGCAGCGTAAGGGGGTCGGCGTCTATTTTAAGGCTCCCGTCGCAGCCGGCCCCGTCCCCGTCGTCCCCCCGTGTCGTGTGCGTGTCCCCCCCACCGCGGCTCCCACACCGTCACGTGTCGGACAGCGACCGGGACTTTCTACCGTGTAAACACGGAGCGGCGAAGCCGTCGGAGGGCAGCCGGGGCCGCCGAGCCAGCTCCAGCACCAGCGGGGCATCCCCCCCCGCCCTCCCCGCCATCGGGCATCCCCCCCCCCCCCCCCCCCCACGCGGGCACCGCCGCCCCACGCCTGGCTCCGGTCGGGGGGAGACCACCCCCCGTGTGTGTGCGTGTGTGTCCCGTTCTCCTCCGCTCGCAGCGGCGCTCCGGCGGGGGCGGCCCCCCCCCAGCACAGTCGGCCCGAGGGAGAGGAGGCCCCCGTGCCCCCCCCCCGCGCCGTCT